GGCTGTCTCTGCTCCAGGTCTCCGTGGGAAAGCTTTCTTCATGGAGGGAGCAGGACAGTAGGGCTTCTCCTCCTGCCTTCAGCTGCCTGTTGCTGAGGCTAAGTCCCAGGGTGTTGAGGGCTCCTTCTTTCACCAGCTGCCACCCACAGAATGGACACCCTGCTTTGGCTGTCACATGTTGGAATATCGGAGTTTTGACCATCCTTGCCCCATGGCTTCACAGTGCTTCCACACCAGGGAGGACATTATCCCCTAAACTATACACCACAACCATTCACCCAGAACTTCCACTGTACTAATTCTAAGAAACCTAAAGATGGCTTAAAGCTTAAAGCACACAAGGGGACTTGCAGTTACATGCAGATGCTACATCATTTTCACAAGGAACCTGAGCATCTGCAGACTTTGGAATCTGCAGCATGGGGGTGGGGATCCTGGAACCAACCCCTGTGGACACCCAGACATCACAGAAAATCCTAAGGAATCCACTACTGTTCAATGAGTTCATAAGGCTGTAGGACAAGATCAATGTACAAAAATTATTCCTAAAAAACTTGTAACATCCGTATAGTCAGTAAACAGTTATAGTAGTATTTAAAAATTAAAATAGGGATTGAACAAAAGTACAAAACATGAAAACTTTATGTTGTTGACACAACATACTCTGCAAATGAACAGTAATCAAGGCAAGGTGGTACTTGAACAGGAGCAGATACAGATTAACACACTTGAGAGGACAGACATCTACAGTCAGTGGATTTTCAAGAAGCTACTAAAAAACAGCCTTTCCAAGAAATGGTATTGGGAGAACTGTGATAGCTGCTGCATGTGAATGAACTTAAACCTCTTCCTTATGCCACAGGCAAAAAGCAAAAAAACCTCAAAATGGAAAGAACTAAAAATAAGGGCTGATTATAAAATCGTTAGAAGAAAACAGAGAAGTAAATCTTCATGATCTTGGAGAGGGTCAAAGACCCCTAGATTTATTAAAATCTCAAGCAGTAAAACATAATTGGATGTTCATAAAAGATGTTTCTGCTTGAAAAGAAAATGTGAAAGAAAATCTACACAATAGGAAAATTTGCAGATGAGGTTATCTAATAAGGAATTGTGTCCAGAAAGCACAAAGACTAGCATAATAATGAAGACAACCAATTCAATTAAAAAATAAGCCAAGGATCTCAACAGATTTTTCTCCAAGGAGGATATACAAACAGGTATTAGCACATATAAAGATGCTCAGTATTAGTGTCCATTAGGGAAATGCAAATCAACACTGAGATACACTTGACATCAACTAGGATGACTATAATCAAAGTCAGATTAACAAGTCACAAGGATGTGGAGAAGCTGGAACCCTTGTATATATGGGTGGGAATATAAAATGGTGCAGCTGCTTTGGAAAACTGTTTTCCAAATGCAGTTACTGCTTGGCTCAGCAATTCTATGTGTAGCTACATAACCAAGAGAAATGAAAATATGCAAAAATGTGTACACAACTATTCACAACCGGATTAATCATGACAGCCCAAAGATGGTAGCAGCCCAAAACACTCATCAGCTGATGACTGTCTACAATAGTGACATCTGTGACAGTTAGGGGTCACTTAGTATTGGTGAGAAGTAGGGAGGATGGTATCTAAGGGTAGAGGTTCTTTTTGAAGTAATGAAATGTTTTAAAATTGATAGCAACATATACCTGTGGATGTACTAAAAACTTTTATAATTTTCAGTGATTGTGTTGTCAATAGTTTAAAAGACATGATTTAAAAAAATCCACGCCAGCCAGAACTGAGCAGTTGTTAAGCACTGTGTGGTTGGACTCACAGGTAGCATTACTTTCTTTAAAATTTTTCTTTTGTTTGAAAGGCAGATACACAGACAAATCTTCCCTCTTTGTCATTCCCCAGATGGCTGAAAAGGCCAGCACTGGGCCAGGCCAAAGTCAGCAGCTTCATCTAGGTCTGCCGCATGGGAGCAGGGGCTCAGGCATTTGGGTCCTTTCACTGTTTTCCCCAGGCAGTTAGCAGGGAGCTGGAACAGAAGTGGAGCAGCCAGGGTTTGAATGGGCGCCCACATGGGATGCATAAGGAAACTGAGGCTGAGAATCACTGCCCATTATAATAAAGGGGTGAGAAAGTTGGTTCTTCAACCTCACAATGAAAATAAAGATTGGATAGGTTGTCAGAAAATTAGGCTGTATCCAGCTCATCCAGACCCTGTAAACAGTAAGGTTTTGAGCACAGAGTTCCAAGATCCTGAAGATCACGTAGAACAACTGCAGTCGCCCACGTGTGATCTGTAACTATTCCCCTTTGACTACCTCTTGAATCTATGCTTGCTCTTCTTTGCTACTATTGTACGATATTTGGTGGTGAACTGGGGGAAAATCCGTGTTTTTGGAAAGGGAAACTAGGAAATTCTGTGAACTTCAGTGTTTTGGCATAAAATCCCTTCTATTAGCCATTTAAACATGAAGTTAATCAGTGTGAGAATCAGATTAAGACCTTAAATAGCCCTTGCTGTCTGCTGAATGACAAAGGCCAACATTGTGACTGACTTTGCATTACTCGCAAAGTGAAGATCCCTGGAATTGAGGGTTACTGAAGGGTTAAAAGTTACTAAGTGGCTTTATTTCCTCACCTTCATCTAAGACCAAAACATTGAATTTGCTGGTGACATATTCTTTGACATTTTTTGAAGAAACCAAGCCAATTTAGACTACACTTAAAATTATCTGGCTATATCTCAAGTTATTTAATTCAAATAGCTCCATCTGCTGACACATTTTTCTCATAATATAGAGGAAACGGACAGTAGCTGGAAACGGGAGAGCTCATACAATGTCATCATCACATTGTTAAGCCATTGAGGAGCAGTTACTGTCAGGTAGTTCTAGCCTGCATGCCCTTACTCAGGTTTCACTGTCCGTTACAGTCATCACAACCGTTTGTCTAGATCTAGGATGCCTTCCAAGAGCTCTCCAGGCAGAAATAACTTTCTATGACTGTATTATTTACAATAATGATCTCTCTATGGTTGTATACACCTTACTACTCTGACAGCAAGTACCTTACTTAGGAAGCTTACTAAAATAAATTTTTATTAAGTAAGACTGGGTTTTTTGTATTCTCAGTATCAAGTACAGTATTTGATTCATTGCAGTTAATAAAAATTTACTCAACTGGTCAGTTGTTCAGAATTACCTTAAAGTTTATCCAAAGCACTGATAAAAAGCTACATAAATACATTAAAATGTAAACTCATTAACAAACTCATTTAGAACCGGTAGGCTGTTTACTTTTTTTTTTTTTTTTTGACAGGCAGAGTGGACAGTGAGAGAGAGAGACAGAGAGAGGAAGGTCTTCCTTTTGCCGTTGGTTCACCCTCCAATGGCCGCCATGGCAGGGGCGCTGTGGCTGGCGCACCGCGCTGATCCGAAGGCAGGAGCCAGGTGCTTCTGGTCTCCCATGCGGGGGCAGGGCCCAAGCACTTGGGCCATCCTCCACTGCACTCCCGGGCCACAGCAGAGAGCTGGCCTGGAAGAGGGGCAACAGGGACAGAATCCGGCGCCCCGACCGGGACTAGAACCTGGTGTGCTGGCGCCGCAAGGCGGAGGATTAGCCTATTGAACTGCAGCACCGGCCCCTGGCTGTTCACTTTTGACTTCCCTTTTATAGAGAAATATATTTCTTAAAAATAAGCACCACACATTCACTATATTCACCAAACTTTAGTTTAAAAACAATCGTTGACAGTACATTTCTCTTGTCAATTTTTTATTGTGCTACTTGCGCAAAAAAACGAAATTAAGCACTTACTGAATTATGTTTAGATCTTTAAATTATTCATTTAACAAGTTCATTTAAATAATATTCCATAAATGACAAGCAGCTTAAATAGATGTTTAACTATCATTAAAAAATTCATAAAATCAAAGCCAGTTAAATTTTCAACAAGGCAATGTAACCTTTACCACTAACCTGACTAAAAGGCCGCACCCGCACTGCCACTTTCACACTGTCAGTACTTGGCATAGGCATTTTCATCGTTTTCATTATTCATACTGTTATCTGGTAGAAAAATATTGTAGAAAAGCACACTGCTTATGCTGTTCTTCACACGGCAACACTAAAAGCTCAGCCCACACAGCAGTTCATTTCTGGATGATCAATTATTAATGGTCCATTCATTATACACTATCAATTACCTGCTATAAATTATTTTACAATACTTACTTATTGATGTATTTTATAGCCTATATCAAGTATCATTACATAATCGTGCGGAGTCACACTGTAAAATGCAAGGTGCTTTTGTTTTTTCTTCTTCCACATCTACTCATCACCCTTTCTCAAATCTGTGCCTGAGGTTCTGAGATAATTTGCTAGTTTTGAAACCTGAATATTAAGGGGTTCCTGTGATTCAGCACCAAGCTCCTTCACAACAATAGTACAAAATCTGTCCTGAAATCTCATCAATGAGGCACATACCAAGTGCACTGAATATCCACAAAACATTTATTTTACATTTCTCTACTTTCTCAAACCCTTTTATGAGGTTGCTAGTGAGCAGTGAACCGGTCAGTCTAACCTGGGTTATTAGTCTCTGAGAAACTGAGACTTTTTAAAGATAAATAGACTTTAAGCTTGCTAAACAAGAAATGCCAACATTACAGTTAATCAATGCATTACTTGGAAAATTTGCTCATATGAGGTAGATTACACAAAATTTGTGAAAGTACAAAAAGGTGGCAAAATCACATGCCCATAATTTGATTTCAACATAGTAACAGCCGAACACAGAATACATCTTATGATTAGAAATCTTAATCACAGAATCAAAGTGCATGAATTATAAAATAGCAACTCTAAAATCAGTTTAATCCTCATTTTAACATCTGTCTAGTAATTGTAGAGAAATAAAATGGGACCAATGCCTACTAGCATATAAAATCATTACAACAGAAATCCCCTCTCAATAATCTAACAGACACAAACTACTGTGAAGTAGACACTTTATTTAACATTCCAATAATAGCCATATTTACATATTATATAAATGTATGAAGTCTTAATATAAAATAGAAAAACTGCCTGGACTGAAAGAATCACTCCACATGGAGCTATTTTACTTATTGAACTTCTGTTTACAAAAATTTACAATAATTTATATATAAATTATTTTCTTCCAAATTAGATGATTTTTAATAACCCACACAACTGTGATGTCTTTACAAACAGGTGTATATTAAAAACTTGAAAGAAAAATTACAGCATTTTTCTACGTAAAACTTGCTTTGGAAAAGAAGACAGTTTTTTTCTGCTCTTTCCAAGAGCTTTTCCTGTAACTTCTGCAGTTTTTCTTGGTTTGCTCTTTCCTCCATCAACTGGGCTCGCTAAGGGAGATATCAGCTTAATTTCTACTGGAGGAGGTGACCAAGAACTTTCCTTTTCTGTATTTCTGCGGGGGAGGAGGAAAAGATAAGAATAAGCACATTGTGTAAGTGGCTTCCCAACATTGACAGAAACTTTAGGGAAACTGTGCCTAGTGCTTTCATTTTATAAGAGAACTGAAGTGAAGCTGGAAGTCATACAGGCTAATGAGAGGCAAAATTAAGGTTTCACATAAAAGAATTTTCCCTCTGTGACATGGGCATTAACAGCAATCACCACAGGACCTACACATTCCAAATGTGTTCATCAACGCTGCTGGGTTACAGGAACAGGCCAACTAGTGGTCAGTGCACAGCAGGAGAGCTAAGCATGTTCTTGGTATCACAAATGATGATACTCAAGCACCCGCAATTAGCACATATGTATGTAATTTCAAACTTGAAGTAGCTTTCCCAATGAAAACAGTGATACTAATTAAGGTTAACAGTCATTAAATCAGTTTTAAAACAAGATAAAATGGGGATAAGGTTTTCGGCCTAGTAGTTAAGATGACTTCCCAGCTCTTCTCCAGCCCAGCCCTGTCCTGTGTATTTGGGGAAATGAACCAGCTGATAGGAGATCTCCCTCTGGTGTCTCTCTCCTCCCTCTCTCCCACCCCCACCCCCACCCCCAGATTAACTTGTACTTTTAGTAAATTCAACCATGCCCAAGCACAGCAAGGACAAAATACTATTTAACAAGCATTTCTGAAATGGAAGAGTTTCCTGTGGATTTGCTACTAGTGAAGTAACACCAGGATTTTTAAGTTTATGATTCTTTGTTACTAGTTTATTTACTAATGAAAAGGTCCCCCTCCTCCATCAACTGCAAAAAATAGATATACTGGATGCAAATTATCCCCAATCTATCACCCTTCTTTAAAAAGGATGAGCAGGTTTTCATTCTATATAGAAATCTACCTTCAGCAGTGAAATCTAATAATCAAGGAGATAGTGCTTATATGTGTCCTTAAGAATGATCATTTTCTGATGAGCTTAATTTCCCTTTTCAAATTGACTTTTCTCAAATTTGATATTGAGAAACAAAGGCATAAAAATTTCAGAAAACAAAGTCATACTTGCTTGCTTGTCTTGTTTTTGCAGTCCTGATTCTTTTCACTTTTTGCTTTCCCACAGCTTCTACTGATTTAGCATCATCTTCCTATGGGTTAAAAATGTGAAAAGATAAACTGTTAAGCAGAAATTTGAAATATAAATTTAGAAATTCTACACTGAGTCAAGGCATATAACCCAACACTACTATTGAATTCAAATTCAACAAATCCCAAATTGTTTCCTTATATTTTTAAACAGAAACCTTGGTATTTTTTATTCCTCATTCTCACAATTCCAACTAATCTCCCAGTCGTGCCAAATTTTATTTTTCAATGTTTCCCCTGTTTTTCTGTTCCCATTATGTCTGTCTAAATCCATGCTTTCATTATTTTGTAAGAACCTGGCCACTGGGACTATTATGTCCCTCCCTAGAATTCATCTTTCATAGACCCCACGCCCCACACACATGGCCACTCTCTAGTGTATGAGCATTCCCCACCCACCCACCCACTGCTTATACACTGCTGAGTCTTTGTTTTTGTGATTTTTCTCTGCAAAGAACACCTGCATCCACCACCTTCTACCCAAAGAAGTAGTTGACTATAAATTATTTGTATCATACTGTGAAATAACTATTGTGTGTTTCTGTCTCTGCAATTAGACCGTGTTTAAGAATTAAACTGTGAACTCCTAAAAGATAAGGAAGTAGCTTTAATTATTTTTCTGTAAGCCTCTGCCACTGCATGGTAACTGACTCATGGCAGAGAATTCAATACAAGTTTATGAATTAATGTTTGTAAATATAAGGGGGACATAGTCCCTGAATTGTTTTCATCTTAGGGTTATGTACAATCAGGTGACAGAATCAACTCTGAAATGCATTCTAAGTGTGCTCTGTGAATGACACTGCAGGGGTTTGCAGGCCTCCATTTTTAATAAACCCATTCAGATAATTCTGATGGCACTACGGTTTAGAAACCTTTTTCCTAAACTGCAGCAGCCAAATCCCCAAAGATGTAGAGAAAAAACAAATTTTGGGCTTTTAATATAAGTGACTCCTATCTTTAAAGTTTATTTAGAAAACATTTTAGAAATAAACTTCTTAAAATTAAATGAAGTTTAAAATTTTATTTTGAAAACTAAAGTCAGTTAAAAAAATACAGAAAATCATACATTTCTTACCAGTTCATCTATAAGTTTGGACGCATTAGATGTATTTTTTTGCCTGGTCCTCAAAGCAGGAGGTGAGATAACAAACTGAGAAGTCAAATCTGATACCAATTCTTTCAGCTGTGCAGGAGCCTCTACTTGTTTAGCTGAAGTTGAAAAAACAAAACACCTCACTGTATCTTTGTATACTCTGTATATGCTATGTTTTCAACTAAGAAGCTTGGAACAAATGATGCACACAGAAACATGCGAATATCCCAAAACCCAGAAAACACTGGTATCCCAAATTAATTGTTTTTAGAGACAGAAATGACAGGAAAAATCCAGTAGCATTTGGGTGATCCAAATGTTTAATAAAATGAATTTTAAAAAGCTTAAGAGCTAAGAAATGCTACAGACCTTAAAATAGGCATAAAACTGTCTTATGTCATTAGTTCCAATTTATTCTGCCTGTTCCTCAGACATTTTGGGGAGGAAAGCATTAAACCCATATATAACCTGAGCTACCCTGCATCATAATTAGTATGTACACAGATGATAAAGATGACAAAGATCTGAATCAGAGAGATGTTTGCTACACTACACCAAAATAACCCACGATCTTTGCATTTACTCTTCCAGTTGTGAAGAAAAGTATTAGTTATGTCAATAACATTCTTCTGCTATTCTCACTGCTGTGTTTTTCACTTTCATCCAATACAAAGGGTCTTCAAAATGTTAATGAGAAAATGAAAAGATTTTGCTACCTGAAAATGTGTATAATGACAAAATAGTAAGGATTTCAACATTTTTTTGCACCAAAATAAATACCTTAAATTCCATTTCAATGAATGTTTCTCAAGTACCCTTTTATCAGCTTGGTAAAGTTAGCTAAAATCTCACATATTTTGTCATTTCATTCTTCTCCATGGAAAGTGTAGGTGAAAGCACTCTCCTATCATGAAGAAACTTACACATGCCACCAAAATAATCAAAGCAGGAAGGAGAGGGGAGAGAGAAGTATACCTTGTAACTATAAATCATTTTTAAGACAAATGATCAATTGCACTGGCAGGGTCACTTTCCTGTGCAGAGACTACACAAAAATAACAACTCAATATAGTAAAGGAGGTTTTTGTACAGTGAACGCTGAAGACAGAAAATTTCAAGTCTTCTTATTTTATATGACATATCTTCTATCTTAAGTCAGGAAGCAATTACATAAGAGGCCACATGGGTTTATCCATTGACAGTTTTTAAAATTTTACATAAATCAGGAAAGTTATCTACTTTACTTACAAGGCCCTTAACTGCTCTGCTGAAATTCTAATTTCAAACTAAAGTAAACAAATTTTGTTTACCCAGCCACTATTTTGACCTTCATAAAGAGCTGCTCTATAAAAGGACCTAGCCAACTACCTCAGAATTACCCTTTCTTTCATGGTCACCTTTATAGACATCTTTTAACCATCTCCCCCACTAAAATTGTTTTCTCTCATAAAATCTTAACATTAGAAATATATTATGCATCTGTTTGAATATTTTGTCTGTATGTGTGTTTGTGTGTGATACATCAAGAGTAAGATATTCCCACCATTTGGGAGAGACATAACCCCAGTTTGAGTATGTATGACAAACATCAACCAAATACTCATTAGCTTACTAAGTGACAATGAGGGACAGCTGAGCCTGCAGACAGGTCAGTTTTGCCTAGCAGTGAATGTGTTTAAATAATCTGTTTAATAATGTCAAGTGAATTATAGGATTTAAAAAGTCATAGAGGAATCATTAAATTTCTGAATTTCAAAGTCATTTTTAGGGCAAATAATCAATTAGTGCTTTAAATCAAATAGTGCTTTTAAAACAAACGTTAAGTTGATGACTAAGCTGAAAAGTGTGCTTTGGATAGAAATAAAAAAGTACCTTTTGTTTTTCTTGGAACCTTCGAGACGGGAGGAGAAAATAAAAATGGCTCATTTTGTGGTTCAGAAAGGTCCGGCAACAAGGTGGCCTTGCTAGATCGAGTCCTTGTGCTACGGGAGGATTTAGTAAAACCCGCCGTGGCAAGCAATCCTTCTTCTTGGTCATTTGGTTCTTTGTGTTCTTCTGTTATTGAGTGTAATGGATGTTTTTGGCTTCGATTTTCAGTCCTTCTACTGAGCTTTTTCTCAGAGCTCATCACTATAGCAAGTTCCTCATTTGGCACTAGAATGGATTTTTCTAAAGCTTGTTTTCCCATATCGGTATTTTCAGTTCTAGCTGGGGTGTTTCTTGTAGATCTCCTCTGGACACTAAGAACTTTCCTTTTTGTGGGACTTTCTTCCTTAAAAGTCTTAGATCCTACATCTTCAGATGGATTTATTTTTCTTGGTCTACCACGTTTCCTAGGTGTGGCAGGTGTATCAAATTCTGCCTGAAGAGTCAGCTTGGATGAATCAACTTCAGAGCCTTCTATCCCATCCAGTGCACTAGCTTCTCTCTCTTTGACCCTTCTTCTAAGCTTAAGAGATAGCTCCTGGTCACTGGATATTCCATCTTGTTTATATCCTGTATTTTCCGAAATTTCTATATTAACACGTTTCAATTTTCTGGTAGTTTTACTAGGACTTGCTACTTTACTCACTTTTAGATCATTTATAATTTCAACACTTTCCTGATTTTCTACAGATTTTTTCCTTCTTTTAGGAGTCTTTTTTGTAACAGATGAAGATGAAAGTTTAATCCCTTTAGCAGTTTCTTCAGCTGCTGGTTCCAATAGCTGAGATGATTTTAACCTTCTTAATTCTCTACCTGGAGTAACTTCTAACTCCTGTTCCACAGAATTGAAACTTTCTAATGTGTCTTTGTCAATTTCCTTCTTTCTCTTTCCTTTCCTAGAAGCAACAGAATTTTGAGGTGTTTTCTGGTTCTGAGATATTCCTTTGATATCAGAAGAGGCACTTTCAGGTGCCTCAGAAATTTGTGTTTTCCTACTTTTCTTTGTAACCGATAGCCCCAGCATCTTAGAAGAAACATCTGCTGACTCCTCTGGTTGTGTGGATCTGATACTCAGGTTTTGGATGCGTTGTCCTCTTGCCCGAGTTCTAGAGGAAATCGTGTCATCAGTCTGGCTGACATTTATAGCCATTGTACTTGTCTCCTGAACAGTCTTAACTGCAGATCTTGTTAACTTGGTGGAAGACATTACCTTTTGGCTTATTAAAGGTATGTGCTTGTCAACTGACTGTTCCATTGTATCTGAAGTAATTTCCTTATTTCTTGTATCTTTAATCACATCTAATAAATTTTCTGCAATTGCCACTTTTATTGGTTCAGGCACATATGGTAATGTCTCTACTTTTTGGGACTCTTGATCACTAGTTATGACAGACGGTAAATTTGCAGTATGTCCATGATTACCATTTTCCCCACTGTGCACAAGTTTTTCCTCAGTGGCAGGGTTAGCTGTCTTGGGTAACACATTAGATGCTGCAGAGTCCCCCATCTCAACCTCTCCTTCTTCACCTTCCAGTATCAAGCTAAAGTTGCTCTGAGCCACAAAAAGTTCCCCATCGACTTCAGCAATGTCACATTCAGCAGAGTCTTTATTATCAGGTAAGTCACAAAACTGCTGCTCGATGCTATCAAAATTATATTGAAGCTTAAGAGTTCCTGAAGGATACAGCTCATTGAAAGAAAGATTCCTAGCCTCTCCTGAATCTTGAGCTTCAAGCTTTTCATGCTCAGTCACCTAAAATGAATTAAAAATAAGAGACTGGTTAAAGAATTTTACTCTATATCAGAATCTAAAGCACACAGGTTTTTAATGAGTTTCTCACCCTGGTGTGTACATTTAAAAAAAAAATTTGATATGGCATACACTTATAAGTTTACTTTATAAAATAACCATTTTAAGCAATCAGACTTTCTCATACTCAGAATAATTAGAAACAGATTTTTGAGATTATGACGAATTAAACTAGAAATCCCACATTTTTAACAAAACCTTGAAAATTATTATGATACTACCAGTTATAAGAATTAAGGACTTATTGTATTCTCACCCATGAAAAAAATTAACCTGAGACAAAGAAACACCCCCAATTGTCTTAATGAAAATCCCCAAATTACCTAACTATTCACACTTTTCTAAACAGCATGATCCCCATAAGGTTGAAGAACAATTCACCTACATAAGCTCCCTTGGGCTAGACTCAATCCTCTTCCCTTTGCTGGGGCTGCATAAACCATGAAATTCCTAAGGCTTTCAAGTTCAGTACCTCTCCTGCAAGGGTTTGGTGGAAGAAGGAATGGTCCTTGCATTTACCTTTTGGTAAGGGAAGGGGAGAAAAAGGAGGAGGTAGAAAGTAACAGAGAGATCTCCTGACCAAGAAGGTAGAACATTACCACCCATCTAGACAAAGACATTTTCCCATTCCCCAAACATTCAATGAGATGACAGATTGGAAACAACCTAGAAATGAGGATTCCCGTTTACACATGCTCACAATTTTTATTAGCTTCCCAACCAAAGGAATTGGAACTTTAGCCTTCTATTGTGAGAAAACTCATAAGGATGAATATGGATAATGTGACATTTTTATGAATTAAAACTTCCCAATTTCTATATAATCAGATTTCTAGAAATAATTACAAGAGTCAGTATTCCATCTTAAATGCATTACATTAAAAAAAAAAAAAACCTTTCTGGAGTATACAGAATTTCAACACCAGCCATCTGAATATCATCCTCCCACAAGTATGCATGGGGAAAAATCTTATTTAACAATATCCACTTATTTTCAAATATATACTCTGAACAGTCTAAATGTCAAACTTGAGTCTGGAGTAGCCATTCTCTGTTGTCTTATGGCTAAAAACTTTTCATCAGAACTAAATACTGGCCAGCGCTACGGCTCACTAGGCTAATCCTCCACCTTGCGGCGCCGGCACACCGGGTTCTAGCCCCAGTTGGGGCGCCGGATTCTGTCCCGGTTGCCCCTTTGCCAGGCCAGCTCTCTGCTGTGGCCAGGGAGTGCAGTGGAGGATGGCCCAAGTGCTTGGGCCCTGCACCCCATGGGAGACCAGGATAAGTACCTGGCTCCTGCCATCGGATCAGCGTGGTGCGGCGGCCACTGGAGGGTGAACCTCAGTGGCAGGGTTAGCTGTCTTGGGTAACACAGCAAAGAAGACCTTTCTCTCTGTCTGTCTCTCTCTCACTGTCCACTCTGCCTGTCAAAAAACAAACAAAAAATACTAAGCAAAAAGTAAATAACTGTGGCTTCTTTAACACAGCCTTTTTGTTTTTATGAAAACCAGTTTCCTAAAGGATGTGCTAACAAAATATTTACATACTTGCTTTTTGAACACAGATTTTTAATAGAGGTTTATATATCGTAGTCAAATAGACAAGATTATCTTCAAAAAGTTCACAATGTGTATTATGAAAATTAGGTATGGATTTCAAAGTGTTTTGCACCAAAATACTTTAAATTTTATTCTAGTTTTCCACAAACTTTTTGAAGTACTCTTGTGTATCAATTTTAGATGATTTTATTTTTTCAAATTTAAGCCAAAGACAAAAGTAAAAAATTAAAATTTTTTACATGAATTCCTTGAGTATCAGGACGACTGTCAGAAATTGGAGGCTTCTCTTCTGGTAAGTCAACACCTTCTTTTAGCACGTCAACTTCTATATCCTGATCTTCTTTTAGGTTCAATGCAATTTCCTGGTCAAGCCTATGCTCAGAAATACTAAGGCTTTCAGAAGGAACGATCCCAAAGTTTCCACTCTCATCAGGGACATCAGCCATAGCTGAAAGAAAAAATCAGTGTTACTCTTCCTCAGTAGTCTATCATTCATATTAAATATCACATATTTAATATTCACAAAGATAAAATACAGAATATAAATTTCACATATCAAAATGACACCACTAGTTTTTTCTCAACTGCAACATAATTCCTGCTCTTGCTGTGAAATTTTAATATGATAACTGTTTTGAAGAGGCTCAGTTGTTTCTTATTAATCTCAAAATTATATCCATCAGGAAGCTACTAGACAGCCAACCACTCTTATACCATTGAAGAACTGCATGAGGGGCATGCAATCTGGCTATGAAAAAGGATGAGCATGTCTCTGTTGGCAGAAAGCATCTAAATGAGCACAAAAAGTACTACCACTTACAGGCTCATCTGAAAAACTCTCCTTTCATCCTTCCTTTGCCAAGGTTCTTTGTCATTAGCAACTCTAGGTCATATTTAGGTTTAGAATTTGTGAATGATGCAAAATACAAAACACCTCAAAAGGGGAAAAACAACAGACTAACAATTAAAAATCCTTTACCATTTACTAAAAAACAATTAAAAACTTTAGAGGAAAAAATTACTAGGAAAAATATTTCACAATATTAACAGGTAATGGGGGCTCTTAGTTCTAATACACAAAGTATTAGTAAAATGAAAAATGTTGTCACCTGTCAGTTTAGCAAAGAGGATTGGGAAAATGGGTACGTTGCCTTCTATGATAGTAGTAAATTACCTCCATTGGAGAAAAATACTTAAAAAAAATCTGTGTATAATTCTTGGCCTGGCAAGTTCAGTATTATTAATCTACCCAACTGAACGTACCAATATATATATACAGAAGCATAATCATTGCAGATGAAACAGCAAAAACAAATGATCATTCCAAATGTTTACTAAGGAGCAATTAGTTAAGCATAACTTATCAACTCTATCAAATGGGTATTATTGTTTCTGTTGAAAACTTTAGTATTTTACAAAATAATAGAGGTAGAACCAGTCTTGCAGTTAAATAGAGAACTTGAATTATGAACCCAGGGTATATAATTCAAACCCCTATGCTCTTTAGCCACTGTACTTATTTCTTCTTTCAACATATGGCAAACATGCATGGGGGGGGAAAATTCGGTAGAAAAAAAATATTCATTGGATAGGTACCAAGTATTTAGCATAGTGGTCGATACCCATATCCCAGCAGTGTTTGAATTCAATTCTCAGCTCTTGCTCCAGATTGCTGCCAATGCAACCCTGTGAGGCAACAGTGATAGCTCAAGTAATAGGCAGGAGACCTGGACTGAGTTCCCAGCTTCAGCGCCAGGTTACCTCAAGTCAATGTGGGCAGTGGGGAGTGAACCCTCTGTCTCTCCATCTCTCAAAAAAAAATTTTAATGCATGAATTTGAGAGGTAGAGTCAGAAAGATCTTTTACCTGCTGGTTCACCCCTGAGATAAGCCCATCCAAATGCAGGATCCAGGAGCTTCCTCTGGGCATCCCATGCAGGTATAGGGGCCCAAGCACTTGGGTCATCCTGGCTTTCCCAGGCCATAGCAGAGAGCTGGATCAGAAGAAGAGCAGCTGGGACTAGAACCAGCACTCATAAGGGATGCAGGTGCTGCAGGTGGAGGCTTAGCCTACTTTGCCATAACACCAGCCTCAAAATTTTGTTTATTAAAACTATTAAATCCCATGTATTGTTAATTTCCCTGGAGAAAATTTACTCGTTTGTAATTTTTTCTTTCCTAATAATGAAAAGAGTCATTCTGGTCCTTAAGTTACATCTACCACAAAATAAAAATAGGTATTGCCCTGTGAAGATACCAGAATCTCACAAGATCAAAGAGATGATTCCAAAAGAAAAATGTCATAAAATCCATCCTAAGATTTCTACTATTAGAGCCATACAATGACTTATAAGCAACCTACTGTTTAAGTAGCTGATACATCTCCTTAGAACTTGCTTATATTAAGGTTAGCTGACCAGAGAGAGTAGAGAATATTTAAGAAAATCTGGACAATAGATTCTTGTATTTTGAAAATAAATCTATTTGAAACACTAAAATGAAATAATCCCAAAGTTAAAATAACACATACATTTATTGTTATCTGCTCTAATTGTAGAGATGCAGGTTTCAACAGATGATACGCCTTCATCCAAAACAGGTAACTTGGACTTCGGAGTGAGGATTTTCCTTTAGAGATAGAAATATGTAGTTTAGTGTGTGAGAAGAACCCACCTGTCTTAATCTGCTTTACTTATCATTCTATTGATGAAAACTGAAGTTGAGAAATCAATACTATTCATACTCATTTTAAATAACACTGTAAAATTTATAAGTGAATAGATTAAAAATAAGTTGTGGAACATGCTGACAGTGGTCCCAATCAAATACAGGCATTTGTTATCCTTACTTTAAACATTGTGGTTAAGTCTAAGAAAGAATCAACAATACAATCCCACAAAATATCAAGTAAGTTTATAGTTAAAAAAGTTTATAGTTAAAAATGAACTAGCTGCTAAGTGGTGTATATTCACCTACATTCTAATAACCACAAACTTTATTCTCATGAGACTAGGCTCCTTGTAACTGTTGCAATTACCCATTAAACTCACTGCAACAATAAGTTTTCAAGGAACACCAGAACTAAAAATAACTTGGATAATCCTTTCACACTGGTTTTTCTCACTTTTTCCATGAAGGCCTGGAAAAGATTTCATCCAGTCTGGATTTCTCTTCTCAGAGGTAAAGCATATGTCTGAACTGAATGTGCTGAATTCGAATGAAGCAACTACCATGATCTTAATCTGGTGGATGGTTTGCTTAGTCACTCATTACTTATAATGAGCCCTTTATAATGTTTTAAAATTATCATGTTCACGAGTTACTTTTATTAAAACACTCTTAGAACGTCTTGATTACTGAAGCTGTTACTTTGTTGAATCTTTGACAGCACTGCTACTAAAAGTGCTGACAGGCAATCTATGTTCAGTCTTAAAACGAAACAAGGAGCTTTGCCAAGTGAACAAGCACTTCACTAAACACACTGATTAGTTAGCTGACTTTTCAATAAAGGAAGCAGTGCAATGGTTCATATTCTAATACAGGCTCCTCCTCTTCCTGTGAACTGAAAACCAGCACCTGCTCACTAGATCACACTTTGAATACATCACCTAGTATAACCACCTTTCCTGGCACACAGTGTCTGTGAAGTTATTTGTGAGCACAGTATTTTAATCAGTCAGTAGAAAACAAAAAGGTAGCTGGAGTCTTCTATCAACCAAATGTTAGGAACATTTGGTTCAGTACTGTCTCTACTAGGCTCCACTTTGGTCCTCTAATAGTCCTTTGTCTGATCATGTTGAGACCACTGACAGGGTGAGGGCATGATGTTTTGGTCTTCAACAAAAACAAATCACCAACAAGTATTAAGAGTTCTGCCTCAACTTGTATGTCTGCATATTTTGGAAATGTCTAGTAGCATTTTAAAATTTCATGGCAACTACTAAGTAACATACAACTGTACAACTGCACTTCTTCCAAAACAGAAAACATTACCAAAACAGCCATGTCAAAGATCAACAACAACAACAATCTCTTAAAAAGTATTTGAAATTTTCTTCATAAACTTACCCTTCATGGACTGATGGTACATGAGAATCAACTCCTTGAATGGGGCTTAAATGATTTAATTCTGAAAATGCTTCCTCTCCAACTTCTAAAATGCCAATAGATCATACAAAATTATTAATTTATACTAAACAGTAGTTACTTGTTCCTTAGATTATTACTATCTTTTAAAAATTCTAGATTTATCTGAGAGGCAGAGAGACAAAAGTATAGGCAGAGCTCTCATCTGCTGGTCCACTCCCCAAATGCCTGCTATGGCCAGGACTGGGCCAAACTGAAGCAATAAGCTGGGAACTCCATCCAGATCTCGCCTAGAGAGCAGCAGGAACCCAACTACTTGAGTCATCACCTCTGCCTCCCAGGGTCTGCATTAATAGGAAGTTGGAGTGAAAACTGAATGCAGGCACTGCAATGCAGGACATGGCAGTGAGGCCACATATCCATTCCAGGATTGTTCATAAGTTTTTAGATCTGCATTTCGGTTCTTTTAGATTTATTAGCTTGGCATCAGGCTGCCAGTAGATCCTTATTCTAATTCTCTAACACTGAATAAAGAGCCCCCGTTAACTATGAATATTCATATCTAATATTTGCTACTTTGAAATGTGATTTTAAAAAAAGATTAATGTGGGGCCGGCACTGTGGCAAAGCAGGTAAAGCCGCCACCTGCAGTGCTGAGATCCCATATGGGCACTGGTTCAAATCCTGGCTGCTTCACTTCCGATCCAGCTCTCTACTGTGGCCTGGGAAAGCAGTAGAAGATGGCCCAAGTCCTTGGGCCCCTGCACTTGCATGAGAAACCCTGAAGAAGCTCCTGGCTCCTTGCTTCACATCGGCTCAGCTCCAGTCATTGTGGCCAATCTGGGGAGTGAACCAGTGGATGGAAGACCTTCCCCCCCGCCCTAACTCCCCTTCTCTCTGTGTAACTCTTTCAAATAAATCTTTAAAAAAAAAAACGATGCAGAAGCAGGCATTTGGCCTAGTGGTTAGGATACATGCATCCCAACAAAACTCCTTGAGCTCAAGGCCTGGCCCTGGCTCCTCATTCCAGCTTCCTGTCAAAGCAGATACTGGGAAGCAAACGGTAAAGGCTCAAGCAGCAGGGTCCCTACAAACCACATAAGAGACCTGGATTCAGTTTCCAGGCCTGAATGTTGTGGGCATATGGACCATGATGGGAACAGGAGTTCTCTTTAAAAAAAAGAAAGTACATTTCTAGACATGAACAATTAATGCTTAATAAAGATACTACGTCCAAACCTTGTATGTTAAGAAACCTCAATTCAGCGAGGCAAAAAATATTTCCTAAAAGAAATTACTTATGACAGATATTTATGTAAGTTTTAGCGACACAGATTTAAAGTTAGGAGTTACTTTTAAATAAACTTGTTAAATATGTACGGGGTAAGAAACAAAAATTGGCTTAATCTTCTGATCCACCAATTCTAACCTATGTCTTTGCCATTCCCCTTCCTGTGTTCTCCTGGCTCCTCCCATGCCTCCCAACATGGCATTATCCATAGTATGTGACTACAACATAGTACACGCTGAGCATACAATAATTATTTAACCTATACTTTTTTCTTATGGTGGAAAAATTCTGTTACAAATTGTACTTAGAGATATCAATGGTGATTGACTAGTTGGTAATGAGTTCTTACCCATTTGTTTCTTGAGATCTGGAGGATTATCTTCATCTTTCTCAGTTTGTTCTGTTAAATTAGCAATTTGTTCAGTGGGAGAACTTGTTGATTCAGAGTCCACAAAAATAACATCTTCAGATTCTTCTGGTGATGGTGCATCCTGATACTCTGAGGTAGTCTGATCTGATCTGGTTGAGGCACTGCTGGTTTCTTTGCTCAGATCCAGTTTCTCCAGACTTTGTGAGGAGGTATTCTGTGACCTTACATCTGTTATTTGATGATCCTTTTCAGGGCTATTTGGGAGAAATGATGTGGCTTTACCTTTGTTCTTCAGCCAATCAGTTTCTCCTGGATCTCCACATTTTTGGAAAGATGAAGTAACAAAAATTTCTGTTTTGTGGTCCTCCGCAGCCTGTTAAGAATAAGATTTTTGAAAAGAAAAAAACTGATTAGTAAGCATCAGGTTTGGACCTAAGCTATTCAATGCAATCAGACCCATGCTCTGTAATTCTCCAAACCCTCTCTGTAATCAAAATGCATTTGTGTCAAATTTATTCTTTGCAGATACAGAAGAGTTAATAATGCTTCCCTAATTCCAGAGGACTAAAATGTAAAACAGGTTAGATGATCAACTGTCACCAAGTGGGCTCTTAGTAACCACTCTTAAGATGTACCCTCCTGAACAAATAACCAATTAGGAACTTAATTATAAGGGAAGGTGGGAGGAGGGGGTGGAAGAGGAAAGTGATTCAATATAGGGTGAAAAACAGCAAATTAGGAGGTCTGATATTAGTCCTATTTCTGCCAGCAAATATTTGACTTGACCATGGGCAACTTAGTGCTTTTAAAGCCCTATTCTCTTTAACTATAAATGAGGGGACTGGCTTAGCCAGTGCCCTGAAGTTTGTATCAAAACTGATGTTTTCTGATATATCCTCCTAAATACTATCAAACTTACTCCAGTGATACATTTTGTGTTCACGCCTTCTTCCATGAATGAAATTCTAGTTTCTTTAAATCGCAGAGGAGGAGTAAGAGACCGTCCAGGTGATAGAGAGGGAGATGCCAAAGGTGTTGTTCGAAGACCAGACCTTAGGATGGACTGAGGAGTAAACTCAGAAAATCCAGAAGAAGTAACTGACATGGCCAAAGTTTTGGCTTTCTGTAATAAGAATAAGTGGAATTCTACAGTTAGTATTTATAAAAAGTACACAGGGGACAGACTGGGTCAAATGAATCACAATGGTAGTTATGTTCTCATCTCTAAAAAACATGTGATTAGAAATTTTTATTTCAGATTACTGGAAAACCAGAGCTTTCTCATGTAAGGTTACAAAATTAAAAGGGCAGGGATGGGGCTGGCGCCGTGGCTCACTTGGTTAATCCTCCGCCTGCAGCACCGGCATCCCATATGGTCGCCGGTTCTAGTCCCGGCTGCTCCTCTTCCAGTCCAGCTCTCTGCTGTGACCCGGGAGGGCAGTGGAGGATGGCCCAAGTGCTTGGGCCCCTGCACCCACATGGGAGACCAGGAGGAGGCTCCTGGCTTTGGATCGGGACAGTGCTGGCCGTTGTGGCCATTTGGGGAGTGAATCAATGGAAGGACGACCAAAAGGGAAGGGATGAGCACTGTCGTACAACAGTTAAAACTACTTGAGATACTGCATCAATTTCAAGATGCCTGGTTCAAGTCCCACTGCTATGTTCTTCTAATCCAGCATCCTGCTAAGGCATCTGAAAGACAGTTGATAATGACTGAAGTACCTGGGTTCCTGCCACCCACAAGGTAGACCTGGATGAATTTCCTAGCTCCTGGCTTTGGCCTAGCCCAGAACTAGTTATTGTGGGCATTTGGGGAGTACAGCAGAAGACAGAAGATCTCTGTCACTTTGCCTTAAAACAAAAAACTAAAACTGCATTTTTTAAAATTCATTTGACAGGTGGAGTTATAGACAGTGAGAGACACAGACAAAAAGGTCTTCCTTCCGTTTGTTCACTCCCCTAATGGCTGCTATGGCCACTGTGCTGCGCCAATCTGAAGCAGGAGCCAGGTGCTTCATCCTGGTCTCCCATGTGGGTGCAGGGCCCAAGCACTTGGGCCATCCTCCACTGCCCTCCTGGGCCACAGCAGAAAGCTGGACTGGAAGAGGAGCAACTGGGACTAGAACTTGGCACCCATATGGGATGTTGGCGCCGGCCCCAAACTTCATCTTTTTTCTAAAGGTCTTGGGTAGGGCCAAAACTATGGTGAAGCAGATAACCTGTAGCACCAGCATCCTATATGGAGTCCCAGCTACTCCACTTCCAATCCAGATTCCTACTAATGCACCTGGGAGAGCAGCAGCAGATGGCCCACATGAACCTAACAACAGAACCTAAATCAACAAGACTGTACTGTTTTAGAAAAAAATTTTCATCACATGAATTCAGCAACTTAGTAAACTGAATCCTCTGATGACTTCATATAATGAAAACAATGATTATTAGCATGTAAATTATTTAGAAGTACTGTCCTTTAACAGCATAGATTTTTAAATACCATTAGATTATTGAATTCTGCTAGACAGATTATCAGATTATATTGATTTTTCTAGACTCTTTTGGCATTAGGTAAAAAATAACTCCTTGATTTTGTTGCACCTGGACCAATCTGAAAATATAAAATATTTCTTTTGATAGATGAAAAAATGTTAGAAATACTAGGTTTTAAGTATAATGAACATAATTTTGGTAACAGATAGTACAAATTTAGTTTTGTGGCTTCTTAGTTAATAATTTATCATGAAGGGTGTAAGAAAAAGCTATCCAAAGAGAGAATAGGAGTTAACACTATAATTTCATCAAAGGAATCAGAAAATTAAAGTGGAAAAAAATGCTTTTTTAAAGTTATTGACTACCAGAAGGTATCAGCTATAAACAACTTATTTTCTCCTTTCTACTTGAAAAATAACTCTGCAGCTTTGTGATGAATGCTAGATTATATAACTAACCTTAACTATAAGAGGAGTTTCAAGTATGCATAATTCAGAAGCTCTGGAGGTATTCTGATGTAATTCCTTTAACTGTGAATTTAAAGGCAACAAACTGGATGCTAGATACAAAGGAGATCTTGGAGGGGTTTGCTGAATGAGCCCCAAACATTGAGAAGGACGTGCAACAGGATGAACAACCAAATCCAGCAGTCTGTAATGAGAATATACATAAAGAACAGAACAAGCCTGGCAACTTCTTTATTAAGTTATACTGAAATAACAAAAGAATTTTGTATTCCATTTAACTATTCAGACTTCCATATTCACTGATAAACATGAAAACAAATTCAATCAAGTACATTAAAGCAATCCAACCGTCACCATTAGTTCAAAAAGAATTCATCAGAAAAGAAGACAATTAGGATTTAAAGGAAACACAACTTTTATCAGTAGTTACTTAGTTATCCAATGTGCTACACCATTTATTTAATGAAGATTTAACTGCTAAGGATTTAAAATACTGATGAAAACAGGACAAAGATTCTCTGGCAATCCAATTGCTAAAATTTATTTTCAACAGCATAAAAAAAATCCTTTCATCTATATATGCTATACATAATGAATACTGGTTCTTTTATGGTTCTGAATGCAATAAAGATTAACAAAAAAACAGCTATTTTCTTTCCCAAATAAATTTGTTGATGAAACAGAACCTCAAAATTCTCAATAGTTTTCTATAATGTTCCAGATTCAATTTATGTCAAAATGATAAAACTGATCTCACTGGTGACTTATATTAAGCATGCATAGTCCAAATAAGCTTAAAGGCTTAACTTACAGATACGTAATTTAAACTCAAAAGTGAAATTTTCAGGTTACAGATACTGGTGGATCATTTGTTCAAGTCATTCCTTTCTCAACTTCATAACTGTCCGCTTTATAACTATTTTCTAATGACAAAAACAGTACCACTTTACTTCCCCCAAATGCGAAAGTGGCTCAGCTGAAAATAACCACAAAGAAGTGTAGCATGCTTTGTTGCCCAGAAACAAAAACTTCTGCTGCTATGCCATCCTTGTCATTCTATCTTTTAAGTTCAGATGCAATTTTCCCAATTAGGATAAACAGATCAACACAGATCATAATTGCTTTAAGACCTGTTCTGTAGGGGCCAGCACTATGGCATAGCAGGTTAAGTTGCCGCCTACAGCGCCAGTACCCCATATGGAGGCACTGCAGGCTTCTGGCTCCTGGCTTCGGTCTGGCCTAGCCCCAGCTGTTGCGGCCATCTGGGGAGTGACCAGTGGATAGAAGACTTCCGTCTCTCTTCTCTCTGTAACTCTGCCATTCATATAAATAACTTTTTGTTGTTGTTGTTCAGGCAGAGTGGACAGTGAGAGAGAGAGAGAAAGGTCTGTCTTCCTTTGCCGTTGGTTCACCCTCCAATGGCCGCCACACTGCAGCCGGCGCACCACGCTGATCCGAAGCCTGGAGCCAGATGCTTCTCCTGGTCTCCCATGGGGTGCAGGGCCCAAGGACTTGGGCCATCCTCCACTGCACTCCCTGGCCACAGCAGAGGGCTGGCCTGGAAGAGGGGCAACCGGGACAGAATCCGGCGCCCGGACTGGGACTAGAACCCGGGGTGCCGGCGCTGCAAGGCAGAGGATTAGCCTAGTGAGCTGCGGTGCCGGCCATAAATAACTCTTCAAAACCAAACCAAACCAAACCAAACCTGTTACTCAATGGGGAAATATTTACAGAAAGCATTTTCTTCCAAGATCAGATAAGACTGGGCACATTCAGGGTAGTATGGCCATAGACAAAGCATTTTCTTTTTTTTTTTGACAGGCAGAGTTAGAGACAGAGAGAGAGAAAGGTCTTCCTTCTGTTGGTTCATTCCCCAAATAGCTGCTATGGTCGGCGCGCTGTGCCGATCCAAAGCCAGGAGCCAGGTGCTTCCTCCTGGTCTCCCATGCGGGTGCAAGGCCCAAGCACTTGGGCCATCTTCCACTGCCTTCCGGGGCCACAGTAGAGAGCTAGTTCAGAAGAGGAGCAACCGGGACAGAATCCGGCACCCCAACCAGGACTAGAACCTGGGTACCAGCGCCACAGGCGGAGGATTAGCCTACTGAGCCATGGTGCCAGCCAGAGAAAGCATTTTCTTAATAAAAAGTCTTCCCACTTGTTACTCTACATCAATCACAGCTTTAAGATCACCACCAAACCACTATCTAGACAATTACCTATGTTCTGTTCTAAATCACTTGCATTCAGATTCTGTATTTGGAAATAGTTTGTTCAATTTTATATTGAATAATCAATCCCAAGTGAATATTCTATTAAATGGTTTGCCCTATGTTAATACTGTTGTCTAAAGCTCCTATATATCAACAAAACATTTTAAGGTATCTTTTAAAGCAAATATTTAATACAGCACTAAGTCTTAGTATCTCCTCAACAATGTTTTTGACTGTGTTCCACATAAGAAATGCATTTTATATCACAAACAAAACATGAATTACATTAACCACTACCACTTACTATATGCAGTAATAATTGCCTGTTTTACTCTTACATTGAAAGATGCCAGTCAGAATGCATTATATTTACTTACTACTCAGTTATGCAAAACAGTATGGAAAATACACAATCAGGGAATGGAATGATTTTTATGTAAGGTAAATATTGACACCTCAGTTGGTTCTGAGTTAACACTGGCTTTAAAGGGATATCATTATTACCTCTTTAGGCCCTGAGGCCATCAGCCCCTGATAAAGCCCAGATCTCTTACAGTAGAGAGAGACCAAGAAACAGTGATTTGTGGGGAAAAATTGGAACTATTGGTTAGAAAAAAACTATGTCATTAATAATGACTTACAGTTAAAATATCTTTCTACAACCTCATGAGGGTAATTAAGGGGAAACAACCTGAATCTAATCCAAAAAATGTGGAATTCTTTCAAGCTTTGAAAATATGCACTCTATGAGGCTGGTGCAGGTAAAGCCGCTGCCTGCAGTGCTAGCACCCCGGCTGCTCCACGGCCAATTCAGCTCTCTGCTGTGGGCTGGGAAAGCAATAAACAGATGGCCCAGGTCCTTGAGCCCCTGCACCTGAGTGGGAGACCTGGAAGAAGCTCCTGGCTCCGGATCGGCACAGCTCCAGCCGTTGCGGCCAATTGTGGAGTGACCCAGAGGATGGAGGACCTCTCTCTCTTTCCTTCTCCTTCTGTGTAACCCTAACTTTCAAATAAATAAATCTTAAGTAAATAAAATATGCACATTCTATCATAATGCACACCCCATCAACACCTTTAAGTGATTAACTTACCCCAGAATATTTCATTCTCTGTTTTTCCTATAAAATAATGTGTTTGTTTATTTATTTATTTATTTATTTATTTAGACAGGCAGAGTGGACAGTGAGAGAGAGAGACAGAGAGAAAGGTCTTCCTTTGCCGTTGGTTCACCCTCCAATGGCCGCCGCGGTCCGCGCACCACGCTGATCCGATGGCAGGAGCCAGGAGCCAGGTGCTTTTCCTGGTCTCCCATGGGGTGCAGGGCCCAAGGACTTGGGCCATCCTCCACTGCACTCCCTGGCCACAGCAGAGAGCTGGCCTGGAAGAGGGGCAACCGGGACAGAATCCGGCGCCCCGACCGGGACTAGAATCCGGTGTGCTGGCGCCGCGAGGCGGAGGATTAGGCTAGTGAGCCGCGGCACCGGCCAATGTGATTCTGTCCTTGATCAAGGACAAAGAATCAATACATTAAGAGAGAATCTGCTCTCTGCTGATGACCATGAATATTTTCCAACTATTACAATGTTTTTAAATACCCACAATCACAGTTTTATCCTGTATGTAAAGCTTCAGCTTAAACTTAAACTTAGCTTACTTATTTTTCTTTCTTTCTTTCTTTCTTTTTTTTTTTTTTTTGACAGGCAGAGTGGACAGTGAGAGAGAGAGACAGAGAGAAAGGTCTTCCTTTGCCATTGGTTCACCCTCCAATGGCCGCCGCGGCTGCGCCGGCGCACCGCGCTGATCCGATGGCAGGAGCCAGGTGCTTTTCCTGGTCTCCCATGGGGTGCAGGGCCCAAGCACCTGGGCCATCCTCCACTGCACTCCCTGGCCACAGCAGAGGGCTGGCCTGGAAGAGGGGCAACCGGGACAGAATCCGGCGCCCCAACCGGGACTAGAACCCGGTGTGCCGGCGCCGCTAGGCGGAGGATTAGCCTAGTGAGCTGCGGCGCCGGCACTTATTTTTCTAACACTGTAAGTAAGCTGTAAAAGTATCACTGCATCTACAGCTAAGGAAGACTTTTGCAGCCCCTGCTTCACAAGAGAAAACTTTCAATATAAGCCAAAGAAGAGTAAAAAATAATTAATTTAAAAAACGGCATTCAGAGGCCAATTAACAAGGAGATGGCGCCTCATTTTTCATTAAGCATTATGGAGTTAGCAGCAATTTCAAAGTACACAACCACCTGTCATAAAATTCCTCAAGGTATTAAAATTTCAAAGATAATTAAGAATTGCAGTTAAACTTATCACTTAACACGGTGTCTTTAAGAATGACTTAATAAACTCTTACCTAGAAATCTTTTGTGATGCCTTTGAAATAGGTGTTCTGACAAATGCCTCAGGGAGCTCCAGGTCAGGGAGAGAATATGCTATAGGAGATGGTTCTTCTATTTTAGGACTACAAAGAAAATAAAACTTTTACCTTTTGATATGTATCACATAAAGCACTGATAAGAATAAACATGTCACTTTTCAATTTAAAATCTTTTTGTAAGAAAAGTAACCAACATAAAAAGAGCTTTTCAGTTTTACATATACTAATAAACCCTGTGGCAAAGAGGGTGGATTGCTGATGAATGCTGATGTCCAGGAAAGGTTAGCAAATAGCATGACTTTAAAAGGGGTACAAAAAACATACCTATTGTAAGGTAAGATGCTATTTTTAGGTTCACTGCTGGTCCAAACCTCTCCAATTTTAGACAATACATTATTGACGAAAGAAGATCTTGTTAACACTGTCCCTGTTACAGCTTGTTTTGGAACTGCTGATAATGGTTTGGGTCTAGAAACTGTAAAATGAAGAACGCTGGATTTAATTGTATCTTTAACAAAAGGATCTTTTTAAAATGTATTTATTTGATAGAGAAGAGTTTCCATCCACTAGTTCACTTCCCAGATGCCTGCAATGGCCAGGGGCGGGGCTGAGCCAAGCCAAAGCCAGGAGCCACAAACTCAATCCCGGTACCCCACAAGGATATCAGGAACCAACTACTTGAACCCTATCTGCTGCCTGCCAGAGTCTGCATTAGCAGGAAGCTTGGAGCAGGAGTTGGGAACTGAATCCAGACACTCCAATGCTGGAATGCAGGCATCTTAACCAAAGGCATAATTGCAAGGCTAAATGCCTACCCTAGGATTTTAATAAAAAAACGATTGAAAACACAGATGAAATGATAAGTAGTTAAAATTATATTTGGTTTAGCCATAGCCACACAGGAATTTAACAATTTGGGATTTTAAAAGATGGCAAAAATATTATTCTGTATGTTTTCAAAGCTGGACATGAGTCTTCAGTTGAAATAAAGAGCTCTTTCATTCTATACCACACTAGCAAATACATGGCCAACAACTTCCAAGAAAGCCCTATCTTTTGGAGCAGCCAGGAAAAACAAAAACAAAAACAAAAAAACAAAACTAGGATGAATCTCAGTATGCATTAGCAATAGTGAACTAAATGTATGATTACTTCACAAAAGTAATTCTCTTTATCTTTTCTAGCTCAATAGTTTATTACATTCTTCAATGAAATCCTACCTTCTCGAAGAACCGATGATCTTGACAGAGGGTAAGGCTTAGCTCGCTCAGTGGCTAATTTTCGCTGGACTCGAGGAAGGATTTTCCCATATTGTTCTAATATGGCATTCCGAGCTACTGATCTCTCCCGCAAACGAGGATCACGATCGTTCTATTGGATATATCATAATTGTTACATATTTAGCACTTACAACATAATCATGAATATCTAGGAGTATATTCCACCTGTCTACATTTTTCTAAACCAAGGATTTCATTCATACATAATTGCTTTACCAATCTCTACCTATTAATAAACTCCAAATTACTAATAAGCTCCAATTCTTCACAAATAATGCAAACAATGATTATCACTTTTTAAAAATTTTTATTTTATTTTTTGACAGGCAGAGTGGACAGTGAGAAAGAGAGAGAGAAAGGTCTTCCTTTGCTGCTGGTTCACCCTCCAATGGCTGCTGCGGCTGGTGCGCTGTGGCTGGCGCACCGCGCTGATCCGATGGCAGGAGCCAGGAGCCAGGTACTTCTCCTGGTCTCCCATGGGGTGCAGGGCCCAAGCACTTGGGCCATTCTCCACTGCACTCCCTGGCCACAGCAGAGGGCTGGCCTGGAAGAGGGGCAACCGGGACAGAATCCGGCGCCCTGACCGGGACTAGAACCTGGTGTGCCAGTGCCGCAAGGCAGAGGATTAGCCTAGTGAGCCACGGCGCTGGCCTGATTATCATTTATTAAACACCTATATGTATCAGGCAATACCTTACTTCACACAAGAATATTTTTATCGTTATAACCTCAGGCAGATACCATCATTTACACAAGAAGAAACTAAGATTTGGAATGTGTCCCAAGTACACTGAACCAAACAAGGAGTCTAACTCTTAAAGTTCAATGCTCTTTGTATAATATCTTCTTGTCCTCTAATGTTTTCTCTCATTTCCCTTGAAGGAAGTGGTAGTGTATCAAGACTGGGGGGAGAAAAGAAGATTCTCCAAAGTCAAGATAATATAGATCAAATCAGTTATCAAACTGCAAATTTTATATAACAGACCAAAAAAGTCTCCAGTATTCCTTATTCTTTTATGCCGTTATAAAACAACCTGAATCATACCGTAAGATTAATCTTCAGAGTTTGGTTCAACTTCAAGGCAGGAATATAATTGGCACGCTGCAAATGGTGAACTAAGAGGAATTCACGATTCTGAATACTGGCACTGGACTGTAAAAATTTCACTAAACATTCCTAGGAAGAACAAAATAGACTTGTAATCGATCACTTTGTCATGAATTTGTTCTAAGATTACATTAATAACTAATTACCTGCTCAGTGTCTGTAAACGGTAACTTCAGTAAATCCTCCATTAAGCCCATTTCGTGACAGACTTCATATGTGTGCTTTAGTAACTCCTCAATATTCAACCTATTAGAATGCTGTCGCAGTAAATTCCAAGCTTCAACCATGCATCTGCAATCAGTAGTTATCAAGTTTAGCTTTAGAAAATCTATTTAAAACATTCAAAACAAGTCACCTGCCTAGAGAATCTCAAAGATACTTTGCACTTACAATTTTTTTAAAAGATTTATTTTATTTATTTGAAAGAGTTACAGAGAGAGGTAGAGACAGAGAGAGAGGTCTTCCATCCACTGGTTCACTCCCCAGATGGCCGCAACAGTTGGAGCTGCGCTGATCCAAAGCCAGGAGCTTCTTCCGGGTCTCTCACGTGGATGCAGGAGCCCAAGGGCTTGGGCCATCTTCTACTGCTTTCCCAGGCCATAGCAGAGAGCTAGACTGGAAGAGGAGCAGCTGGGACTAGAACTGGTGCCCATATGGGATGCCAGCACTTCAGGCCAGGGCATTAACCTGCTGTGCCACAGCGCCGGCCCCCTGCACTTACAATTTAAAAATGAACTGAATACTAATTCCATCTGGCTTGTGTCAACAAAATCACAAGCCATCTATAGAAAGCTAATTTTCTGCTGTTCTGTGTTATTATTTAAAATGATAAATAACAACAGTACAACAGAAGTTCACGGGAAGCCAAAGCTAACATGACCTAAACAGAACTGAAAGACGGGTGTGGTGTGACAGACAGAAGTCAGACTTCCAAGAAGTGACGATAGGAATGAAGATTAGGACAGAGAATGAGTGACTGACTGCAAGTAGATGGGAGAAAAATATTGTGCTCATTGAGAGGTTCAGGATGCAGCTTAATAGATTACTTCAGATGATTTATACATCAAGATCTGATTGTAGAGCTTTGGTCAAATTTGAAGTCAGACCCCACATGGAGGCACTGAGGCATACTTTAATGGATAAAAATATCATTTAATTGAAACAGTGTTTCTTATATAGGAGTCTCAGAATCAGGTCGGGATTCCGAGAACTTTATAAAAACAGATGTCCCATTCATAACAGACTTTTATGTAGCCCTATATGAGGCATACATATACTAGGGAAATGATTAAAAACAGAGCAAGTTTAAAACAGTATGATGATTATAATTTTTAAAATTTAAGTAAACAAAATCTACAAATGCTCATATATTTTAAAATATTTTAAAAAGTTCTGGGGCCAGCATTGTGGCACGATGGATTAAGCCACTGCCTATGAGGCTGGCGTTTCATATGCGCACCGGTTCCAGTCCCAGTTGCTCCACTTCCAATCCAGCTCCTTATTAATGTGCTGGAGAAAGCAGCGGAAGATAGCCCCTACCATGCACAAGGGGGACACGGATGAAGTTCCTGGCTCCTAGCTTTGGCCTGGCCCAGCCCTGGCTATTGTGGCCATTTGGGGAGTGAATCAGCAAATGGAAGGTATCTCTGTCTCTCTCCCTCCCCTTTCCCTGTAACTCGGCCTTTCAAATAAAATGACTGAATCTTTAAGGAAAAAGTTTTCAAAGATAATGGCAAGCAGATAACATAAAACTTAAAGCAGTTAGCACTCATAATTAAAACTCATCTGAGGAGTTTTAGTAGCTTTGTTCTAGAATTACTTGATAAAAAGTTACTCAGGAAAGCAATGACACCCACTGTTGGCAGGTCAAATTCACCTAGTGATTTTTTTTTCTGAGACTAGACTGTTTTAACACATCACACGGGCCATGTTAAGGTCAACAATGCAAGGAAGTAAAACGTTGAGTATTCCCTAAAAATTACATCTGAAACTACCTTTTGCCTTTTTCTACCAGAATAGGCATTCTAGTGTGGTTGTTATAACCTGAATGTAGAAAAGGGATCTGTATCTGTGTGTAAACACCCATGGTAACTTCACTAAACTATTGTATTTTTGTACTTGTATATGCTGAAATAATTTAGAAACTTTTATATCAAATGCCAGGTAAAAAATATAAACAAGAACAAAGCTGTAAGCATGGTAGTAGAAAGCATCAGAGAATTTTTAAAAATAATATCATAATGGAAGACACAAGTCTTAAAAATAAATTCCAGAATCACAAAATCCATTAGAGTGCTGTGAAAAGACAAATGACAACAGGGAAAAAAAATCTCACACCAGTTTAATTCCTAATGTATAATGAAGAGTACTTATAAATCAGTATGAAAAAAATCCCAACAGCACACAGGAAAAACAGCAAAAAGATTTAAATAAAAATGTCACAAAAGAAATAACTCTTTATGACAAAGATTCACGTTATTTTAGAGAGACTGAATATATTAATGTTTTCACCTACGAGATGCATAAGCACCAAATATCAGACATCACCGGATGTTGACAAAAGGCATGGCATAAGTCAGTGAGCAGTGGGGCAGAAGGGAACTAAAAGGCACAACACTCATGGAGGACAATTTCCCTCATCTACCAATATTACATCTGCAAGTATTCTCTTTTTTTGACAGGCAGAGTTAGAGAGAGAGAGAGAGAGAGAGAGAGAGAGAGAGAGAGAGAGAGAGAAAGAGAAAGAGAAAGAGAAAGAGAAAGAGAAAGAGAAAGAGAAAGAGAGAAAGAGAGAGAGAGAGAGAGAGAAAGAGAAAGAGAAAGAGAAAGAGAAAGAGAAAGAGAAAGAGAAAGAGAAAGAGAAAGAGAAAGAGAAAGAGAAAGGTCTTCCTTTTTCTGTTGGTTCACCCCGCCAAGTGGCTGCTACAGCTGGCGTGTTGTGGCCTGCGCGCTGCGCTGGCTGCTCTGAAGACAGGAGCCAGGTGCTTTTCCTGGTCTCCCATGGGGTGCAGGGCCCAAGCACTTGGGCCATCCTCCACTGCACTCCCTGGCCACAGCAGAGAGCTGGCCTGGAAGAGGGGCAACCGGGACAGAACCGGCACCCCGACCGGGACTAGAATCCGGGGTGCCGGCGCCGCAGGCGGAGGATTAGCCTAGTGAGCCGCGGTGCTGGCCATCAAAAGGCATTTTTAAAAGATCAAGAAGTCTAAGAATATTAGATAATGCAACCAAACTTAAATCTTATATTACTGTCTATTACATCGATTTCATTTTCTTAACATATGATCCAGAGTTGTTACTTTCAGAGTGTGTACTTACCTATTAAAAAGCAAAACAGTGAGGTGAAGTGTAACATCAGTACCACTGGTTACTGCTGGCTTCATTGTCTGAATATATCTGAGGGCTTGTCTGTGTTCACCCTGACTCATAAAGGCTTCAACAATCTTTGCATGTTGCCATGACTCAGGTTTTGAAGTAGCTGGGTGAAACAGAAGGTCCAAACCACTCTGTGAAATTGACATGAAAATGCTAAATTATAAGCTGTATTTAGACACAGTTGTTACTCTTTAAAAAGACAGGAAATATTAAAACCCACAAAATTCAAGATAAAACCTATTTAAATTAAGATAAAAAGAGGTGCTTTAATCTATAGTTTATTTTATTTTAAAGAATAAATGCTTTATCAAATCCCCACACCATTGAAATCTAAAAAATCCTTTAGGAGGCTGCCACTGTGGCTAGCAGGTAAAGCTATTGCCTGCAGAGCTGGAATCCCATGTGGGTGATGGTTTGAGTCTTGGCTATTCCATTTCCAACGAGCTCCTTACTACTGGCCTGGGAAAGGCAGTGGAAGATGGCCTAAGTGTTTGGGCCCTGCACCCCATGGGAGACTCCTGGCACTTTGCTTTGGCCTGGCTCAGCCATGGCCATTGTAGCCATCAGGAGAATGAACCAGTGGATGGAAAATCTTTTTTTTTCTGTCTCTCCCTCTCTAACTTTTACTTTCACAATAAATAAATCGATCTTAAAAAACAAAACAAAACAAAACACTTAGGGCTGCTGTTGTGGCACAGCAGGTAAAGCCATGACCTGTGATGCATGGGATGTCAGCTCAAGACCTGGCTGCTCGGCTTCTGGTCCAGCTCCCTGCTAGTGCACCTGGGAAAGCAGTAGAAGATGGCCCAAGTACTTGGGCCCCTGAACCCACATGGGAGACCCAAATTGAAGCTCTTGGCTCCTGGCTTTGACCTGGCCCTTCCCTGGCCATTGTAACTCTATCTCCCAAACAAATAAAATCTTTAAAAAAAAAATTTCCATTAACTATTCCATATATCAATGTCAAAGCTTGTTTTGCATGCTTCATCCAATACCCTAAACATATTTCTAATCTAACAGTCACTGCATTGCACTTTTCAAAACTGTTTACTTGTTTCCTCTTTAGACAGTAGAGGACCCAGGGTTCTAAACTGTTTTTCTTTTCCATCTATTAAGAAAGACTGTGCTTAGTCCAAGTACACTTGAGTAAACCAGGTCATTTTCATACTACCTCTAGAAATAGGTTATGTAATTTCTTTCACATCAAATTTAACCTAGTGACAAATATTTTCTAAAATTATGATTAAAAAAGCCTTACATTATATGAATAAATACACTTACCTCATAGTCACTATGATCTATCAGCCAAAATCCTTGAATAAGTTTAACTTGGCCCCAAGAAATGGCAAAGGCAGTTGGAAAAGACTCAATGGAGGTATCCATTTTGTTTGGAAAGGAATACATAATATCGAGTAGCAAATAAATGGTCTTTTCAAAGGATTAAGGATAATAAATAAAAATTGCTATATATATTTGGGAACAGGTAACAACAGAATGTATCATTAAAATAGGACTGAAAGATTCAAGAAAATTTTGTTAAGATTTATTTTCATTTTATTTGAAAAGCAGAGAGACAGACATGGAAACTGGCTGACAGAGACCCTAAATTGTAAGGAACCACTCATTTTTAGATGAAGAAATTAACTACAGGGTCCAACATTGTGGCACAGTGGGTTAAGACACAACATGTGATGCTGGCATCCCCTACTGAGTGCAGGTTTTAGTCCTGGCTGCTCCACTTCTGATCTAGCTCACTGCTAACGGCCTGGGAAAGCAGTAGAAGATTGCAGCCATTTTGGGAGTGAACCAGGAGATTGAAGTTCTTTCTAACTCTGTCTTTCAAATAAATAAATAAATCTTTAAAACAAACAAACAAAAAAAGAAAAAGCAATAAAGAAAAAATGACTACAGGGCCCCAAAAATGCCAAAGGTAATTTTAAAGTAACTTAGTTATAATGTGTTCATTTTAAGCACTCAACACCATTACTAAGAACCATTTGTCAGTAACATTTTTAGAGTAGCTGTTCTTAACTTTTTGAGTGTCTTGGACACATTTAAGAAATAAAATCTAATGATCCAGGCTGATGCCATGGCATAGCAGGTAAAGCGGCTGCCTGCAGTGCCGGCATCCTATATGGGTACTGGTTCAAGTCCCAGCTGCTCCACTTGCGATCCAGTTCTCTGCTACGGCCTGGGAAAGCAGTGGAAGATGGTCCGAGTCCTTGAGCCTCTCAGCCCACGTGGGATACGTAGGCAATGTGGAAGAAGCTCCTGGCTATTGGCTTTGGAACAGGCCAGCTCCAGCTACTGCAGCCAACTGGGGAGTGAATCAGCAGATGGATGACCTCTCTCTCTCTCTGCTTCTTCTCTCTCTGTGTCACTCTGACTTTCAAATAAATAAATAAATCTTTAAAAAGAAAAGCTAATGAACATATCCCTAGAAAAATAAACATAAAACAAAATTTTGCACAGTTTTAAGTTAAATAATAGGCCATGTGAACCCCAGAATCTAGGTTAAAAACTTTTCTATCATAAAAAAGAAAGATTTCAAACAAATTTGAGATTGGATTAGGAAATTCCTAATGCTCTGAAATTTTGTGACTTTGATAATACAAGAATATTTGATAAAATTCGAAAGGATACGATAAAATGTTTGTTTGCTTCAGTAACGTTGTCTAACAAGTATATGTCAAGTAGTGCCTGTAAAAGGAAGGGATTAAAAACATCAATGCATTTCAGTTGTTTATTCTTCAATGCCTCGTTTCCCCACGCCTGCATCAGGTATGAAAAATATAGCTAAACGTGTCTCCTCCCTCTTCAACTTCGTTTGACAGCATATTACTGCGAACCTACATGTATACTACTAGGAGGGTATTTTCCTGTGCCTCCTTCCTCCCGTCTCCACAACTTCTCAATCCGATCTCCTAACTGAGAAACCAATCCATCAATCACCAAGCAATCGTGGTTCCACTTCCCTCTGCAATAAGGGAAACATTAAGGATTATTTAATATTAATGACTTATCAAAACAAGCAGCATCAATTTTTAAAAAGTCATAATCCCACCTACCAAAGAGAGAACCGAGGTGAGAAATGGACCTCATTTAGCATCATGAGGACTACAGACACCAAGTAATATAAACCTTGAAACTGCCTCACATTCAGTCAACCACAAGCCTGTCAGTTAAGATCGGGTTCTAGGGGTGAGTGCAGTACAGTAAGTCAAATTCCTGAGATTATTCTATTTCTATGAAGTATGGCCACCCAGAATATTTTAGTTCAAAGCCAAGGAATTATAGCTTCCATTTTTTCAAATATATTACTGGTATCTGCAATGAAGCAGATACTATATTTCGTCATCTAATATTATAAACAGCAGCCGTATTTACTACTTTTTGAGCTTTGAGTCTGACACGGTACTGGATGCCCTGAACATATTTTATGCAAATTTTTTTTCTTCTTTTTTAAAATTTGGGTGCTTGTCACCTACACCAGAGACCTGGATTGAGCTACTGGCTGTAGCCTGGCCCAGTATTGGCTACTGCATACATTTGGGGAATGAAACAGAGTGGAGGCTCTCTCTCTCTGCTGGCTCTCAAATTAAAAACAGGAGTAAATGCTACATCTATTAAACTTATTGAGCTTTGCCTCTGAATATGACATTTTACTGGGTGCCCTATACATGTATGTTTTGTGAGAGGCAGAAAGACATAGAGAAAGAGAGACAGGCAGACAGTTACCATCCACTGGTTTACTCCACAAATGACCCCAGTGGCCAATACTGGCTGAGCTGATGCAGGGGCTCAATCCAAGTCCACAACCTTGCTGGCAGGGAGGCAACTACTTGAACCATCTCCTGCTGTCTCCCAGAGTCTATACTGGCAGGCAGCTGGAAGTGTGATACAGAGCAAGGAATCACTCCAACATGAGACGTGACATCCCAAGCAGAATCTTAACCACAAGGCCAACTGCCTACCTCATTTTATATATTTTTTAAATTGACTTTGTAACTTACATAGCACATAATATCAGAAAGTACAGCAAACCTGCCCAAGGACATAAGTTTAGGAAATAACAGATTTGGAATTAAAACATATGTCCAATCTCCAAGTACATGTTCACTATTGCAGGTTAGTTATTTTAAAGCTCTAGTTACCCAAATTGGCCAGGCATTAGAATTATAACTGGTATAGCCATTTGAGCACTAACTCTCCAATGATTCTGACGAAAATTTGAATCAGTGTTTGCTCTACAACTCTGTCATTCTAATGTAAGGAAGGTTTTTTAATTTCAGAGACAGGGCCAAGTTTCTAAACACTATTTCATCTTTTTCTATTACTTTTACTATTTTTACTTCTTTATTTCAAAGGAACCAACTAGGCTACATTCGTATTTAAGAAAAAAAATAACTGTTAATGAATGTTAAATAACTAACTAGTGCTTTATCATGCTTTTTTAATGAGTACTGGTTTCTACTCTCTGAGTAACAATTCACAGGACAAACAATACTCAAATTATGTCATTTCCTCTACTAGATCATTCATGATAAAATAATATAGTATTATTTAGGAAATAAGGAGTAACTATACACAACTTCTAAAATAAAGGTATAACCATTAAGGACAAGGAAAAGAGGACTGCTAGTAATAAATCTGATTCTTGTCTGAGAATTCTACATACTTAATCATTTTGTAACATAAGGAATTCTGTTCTGAGAAAATCTGACTTGGGACTAAAATAATTTTGAAAGCGTGTTGATGGTTAGGATGTACTATACCTTGACAAACGCTCACAGTTCTGTCGACGATTCGTGTAGTAGTTCTGAATTACGGGGTAGTTGTAGCATAACCTTGACAACTGCACAGCATCATCTAGATTTATTTTTAAGAATTGGAAAAAAAGCTAGTAATATTTCCAAAATATCGCAACAATTTGAGGTTATAGACATTGATATTTTACTATAATCTTGTAATATTGTTTAACCTGTAGGCTTGCTGAATAAGAAAAACTACAGTCCTTTTATTATAGATGTACAAGTTAGAAAATTCAGTCTCTTATGAAAGTCTCTAACGAAGATGGCCTTGGAAACTGCTCTAAATAATTTTCCTCCTTAGGCACAAACAACAATTTGAAAGCAAACAATATCGACTATTTATTCAAATAAAAATCTCAGAATTATTAAAGAATAAGATCAACATCAATATATGTGCAGAGCAGAGGCACTTCTAAACAAAATTCAATGTGCATCTTCAAAACTTGGAAGAAATCAGAGTTTCTAGAAGTATGTTCTAAACAAACACTGTACAGTCAACACTGATAAATTCTCTTATTCTTGGTATCAAACATTATTATTAGACAAAAGGCAGCACTTAACTGACACCAAGTAACTATTAGTTAGTAACCACATTAGGAGATCCTTAAAAAGGAAGAGATCAACACAATAGGTAATAAGAACCATGATTTCATGGATCTAAATTATAGCTGCTAATTTTACTGAATCCATTTCCAGAACACAAGTTTTTTCCAAGATTGCCTTCCAAATGTTATTCAATCCTACAAACATGTATAGAACACTCGTATACCAGGTATGGAGGTGAGACACTGAAAATCCAAAGGAAGAAAGAATGTAAGAAAAGAAGAAAACATCAAGCAAGGTAAAAGACAGGAAACCTGATGCATTAGAACACAAGAAAAAACCCATAAAGGTTAAAGAATGTTTCAGTTAATATTTATAGATTAAGTAACTAGTTTACCTAAGCCTTCTGGCAGAAGTCCAGAATGAGAGAACCAGAGAACCACTTGTGCATACTGACAGATGAGCTGGGCAACTATATACTTATTGCTTAAGTCTATCAGGCCTGTAAAGAGTTAACATCAAACATTTAAATTTTAATTTGTCAACCTAAACAAAAAAATCAAGATCTTCAATAATTTTTGAAAACTACTTGATGATTTGTTTACTATTACATATACATTTTGAACAAACTGAGCTTCTATCTACTTTACTTTGCTTCAAAATGACGTCAAACAAAATCTCCAAAATGCTGAAATAAGTCTTGGCTATATAAAGTGAACATTTCATACTAACAATACCATTAATACAGGTTATCCAAACCAGGTCTTATTAAACCAGCCGTTTTGTTTTGTTTTGTTGAAATGACAAAATAGAGGAAAAAACTATGAGGAACTCATCAAAAAAATACACATAATTAAAAATTTTGAAATTATACTGAACACTAATAATAATTGACTTTAATTACAAAATTTCTCAAGTTTATTTAAGCACATCTTAAAACATTTTGTAGCTTTTCATTACAAAAAAAAACCTCTACCATTTGAGAAATAATATCCTCTTTATACAATGATCCATCTAAGATAAACTTCACTCTTTTTTCTAACTCTAAAAGTAAGATTTAAAGAACACACCTCTCTCAGTGATCTCTTGAGCCTCTGTTGCAAAACAGCTTAAGACTGTATTAAGGTTGCTAAGAAGCAAATTACACTGCTGGAGAGCCTGCATAGTTTGTGGATCGATAAAGCGACATGAACCATCAAACAATGGCACACCTTTCAAGAAAAAAGCAGATATTAGTTTCCACACAGTAAATACGAATGTACTAGAACTATAAATGCAGGGCTAGCACTGTGGCACGGCAGATTGAGCTGATGCTCACAAGGTTCACACCCCGTATCAAGATGCTAGTTCGAGTCCCAGCTGCTTTGCTTCAGATGCAGCTTCCTGATGGGCTTGGGGAGGCAGTGGGTGATGGCCCAAGTATCTGGTTTTCCACCATCCATGTGGGAGCCCTAGATGAGGTTCCAGGTTCATGGCTTAGGCATGGCACCACCCTGGACATTGCCACCATTAGCAGAGTGAACCGGCAGACCTAAGATCTCTCTTTCCCTCTGTCACTGTGCCATTCAAATAAATAACAAATCTTACATTTAAAAACACCTTGTTTATGCTTAATAAAAAAGAACTAGAAATGCAAAATATGTCAAATTCCTATTATTTGAAAGAATAATTCCATATGAAATTTATAGACAAGCTTGAAATAACCTTTAAGAAAACCAGAAAATATTTTCAAAACCAGCGAAATCAAGTGTGAGGATCTGGTCTCAGACAGTTTGTTTCCTAACTCTTTATAAAACAGTACCTATCAGAAAATATGGATTTACTTCTAAAAAGTAATTAAATTACATTTGGTATTTAATGTATAATTGTTGTAGAAAAATTATCTTAATTCTAAAATTCTTCTCAAAATGAAATTCTAGTGTCTTACCCCAGTACATTAAACCAATTATTTTTTAAAAAATTTTTTAAATATCCATTAACAAAGAAGCTCAAGGCAGCAACAAAGTCTTAATTATCAAGTTCAACACTAAAGTATACTCAGAATATAAGTTACTGAGTTCAGTTAATTTTCCTATTTTTACAAAACAGCCTTTTCCTCTGAAAAATAATTTTTACTCTGATACTGAATTATCAGACATTCTTCCAGACTTCAATTGTATTATGTTACTGGAAAAAAAAAGTTTTTTAAAGTGGAGTCCAACTTATACAAAATATTTATATGAAACGTAGAATGACAGATCATCCACATGCTGGTTTACTCCCCAAATAGTTGCAACTCCCAGGGCTGGGCTAAACCAAAATCAGGAGCTCCATCCTGGTATCCCACATGGGTGGCAGGGGCCCAGGTCCTTGAACCATCATCAGCTGCCTTCCCAGGTGCATTAGCAGGAAGCTAGATGGCAAGAAGGGCAGCTAGAACTTGAATAGGCATTCCATTATGGGATGCTAACGTTGCAAGTGATAGTTTAAATCTGTTGTGTCCTAATGCTGGCCCCAGAAATACTTTATTTCGTGCTTACAGTTTCTTAAGTCTGGCTTTAAATAGTATGAAATCCCCAAGTTTTCCTATCAACTTTGTTCAAAAATTCTGTTGAGAACAACTTGTAAAAAGTATTTGTCAACTCTATCTTCAAAGTTCAGTTGTTATTCATAACACAATAAAAACATCTCGCTTTCACTTACAATGTGATTATGTATCTTTAATAAATGGTACTTTTAACATTATTTTTGCACTAACTGCCCAAGTATACATCAGACCAATAAACAAGAATGTCAAGAAGAACAAGACTTGGCATAATGACATGTCAGCGGAGGACAGGGTGATGATTTTACCCTGCCACTCAGCTTCTTTAACTATTCTATTCCACCCTAAATTTACAGACTTCTTTTTTTTTTTTTTTTTTGACAGGCAGAGTGGACAGTAAGAGAGAGAGACGGAGAGAAAGGTCTTCCTTTGCCGTTGGTTCACCCTCCATGGCCGCCACGGCCAGCGCGCTGCAGCCCGCACACCGCACTGATCCGATGGCAGGAGCCAGGTACTTCTCCTGGTCTCCCATGGGGTGCAGGGCCTAAGTACTTGGGCCATCCTCCACTGCACTCCCTGGCCACAGCAGAGAGCAGGCCTGGAAGAGGGGCAACCGGGACAGAATCCGGCACCCCGACTGGGACTAGAACCCGGTGTGCCGGCGCTGCAAGGCGGAGGATTAGCCTAGTGAGCCGCGGCGCCGGCCTACAGACTTCTTCATGTGCATTTTAACTGACACACAATAACTGGACATATTTATGGGGTAATAGTGTAACATTTATACACACAAACACATATAAAAAACAAATAATGATCCAATCATGGTAGCTGATATATCAAGGGTCATGTCAATCTTCTCTACATTGTTCAATTTTAGTCTATATGCTGCTAAAGTGAGCATCCATAGAGTTTCAATACTTACATAAGCGGTCAAATTCCTCTTTTGTGAGAACAACTTTATTCCATGTCCATTCAAGAACAAAGCGCAAATTAGCAGCAGAATTTGGTTGTTCTTAATGATAAAAAGAAAAAACACATAAGGATCATTAATTATAAACAGAACACGAGAAACCTGGCAGACGGCACCATGACCAAATAAACAAAGGACAAGCAGCATAAATGGGAACATTCTTACACTATCAGTGCCTCACATCAGGCAGTATACCATTTTAAGGTGAACTGCTTCTGAAACAAACAAAAATGTAAAACTTGAATCTAATCCCAAAGAAAAGAATGATAAACACAGATTGAAAGGCACTCTATAAAATAACAGAACAAAATTCTTTACATGTTAATTTCTTTGAAAAGGACACAGAAATGATACCAAATTAAGAGCGATTAAAAAGACATATAAATTAAATACAAAGTATGATTCTAGACTTTCTCCAAAAAATTACTGAGAACATCATTGGACAACTGGTAAGATGTTAACCTTCTTGACAATCACAAAACTTTTTACAATCACAAAATAGTTTTGTGCTGAAAGTCTCTGTGTTTAGAAGCAAACAACACTGAAATATACAAGTAAAGAAGCATGGTATCTTATTCGAAATTATTCAGAAAAATTTATTCTCAAATGGTTCATGTAAGTGAAGTGTGGGTGTGAACAGTGTATAAAAAGTGAGAGTGATATTCTCAAAAACGTAAATAAAGCCAGAGAATTTCACAGAATGAAAAAAAGTCAATCCTTAAAGGTCATACTACTATTTGATTCAATTTATGTCATGTTGGAGATGATAAAATCATAGAAACAGAGAACAGATCAGCAGTTGCCAGGGGTTAGAAATGGAATGGGACAAGTTAGGTATGATTTTAAAAGGGCAAGATGAGATCCCAGTTGTGATATTATCCTACAGGCTGCCAGCCTACTGGAGGGAAACATGGTATAAGGGTACACAGAAACTCTCTTATGTGAATCTACAATTACCACAAAATAAGTTTAACTAAAAAACCAACAGTAAATTGATGGTGTTGAACAGACTGATGCTTTATTGTTAAAGATAAGAATCTTACCTTCTGTTATCCACCTTTTGATACAACCAGTCAAAAGTCCCAAAGAACTTGTCTGAACTGCTGCTGACAATATAGCTTCTAACTGTTCCTCCTAAATCATGCATTGGAAGAAAGAATGAATATCAGATCAAAAGTAGGAACTTGTAGTTCCCAATACAAAATTTTAAAGGCTAAATAATCGTTATGATCCACTAGGATGGCTATAATCCAAAAGATATAACCATTGGCTAGGATTTGCAAAAAATGGGAATATTCATACACTATTAGTTGGGATATAAAATGGTATAGCCATTTTCCTCCCAAGATTTATTTTACTTGAAAATCAGAGTTACAGAAAGAGAGAGAAGACAGATCTTCCATCCAGTGGTTAACTCCCCAGATGGCTGCGATAGCCATGGCTGAGCTATGCTGCAGCCAGAAGTCAGGAACTTCTGCATCTCCCATATCGGTGGCAGAGACCCAAGCACTCAGGCCAACTTCTTCTGCTTTTCCCAGGCCATTAGCAGTGAACTGGATTGGGAGCCGATTAGCCAGGACACAAACAGGTGCCCATATGGGATGCCTGTGTTGCAGGCGCTGGCTTTACCAGCTATGCCACAATGCCAGATCCGGTACAGCCACTTTCAAAGTGCACACCCACACAAAAACTTCTGCTTCACACAGTACTCTAACAATCAAAAAGTAGAAACAAACCAAATGCCCATCAACCAAAGTATTCTAAGAGAAAAACAGAGAAATATCTATAAAATTTATGACAGGAAGGGTAAACATCTATATCTTACAAAGAATATATGTAAACAGAAAAGCAACTCAGAAAAAAATTAAATCAATATATAAGTAATTGAGAGAAGTACAAATCCTGATTGGTCAATAAATATATACAACTGCATATGTGATATCATTCTTTTCATGTATATGGAGAATAGAGATGCATACAAGAATGTCCAACAAACTGTTAATGTCTATATGCTTTCATATACTTTTAGTTTTCTCAATTCAAATTATTCACAAATTATTTCTAATTGGAAAACACAACCCAGGTCAGATTAGCAAGTTTAAATATTCATAGAAAACATAAAATGTTGGTTTCATGGCCCAGCGGGTAAAGCCTCTGCCTGCAATGCCAGCATCCCATATGAATGCTGGTTCATGTCCTGGCTACTCCACTTCTGATCCAGCTCCCTGCTTGGAAAAAGCAGTGGAAGATGGCCCAGTTGTTTGGGCCCCTGCCATCCACGTGGGAGACCCGGATGAAACTCGTGGCTTTTAGATAAAGTTCCAGGCCCAGCGCTGGCCGTTGAGGCCATCTGGGGAAGAAACCAACAGATGGAAGATTGCTCTTCCCCTTTCTCTATAACTCTCCCTCTTAAATAAATAAACAAACCCTGAAGAAGGTTGGTATATGGAATGGACAGCCCCACCCTCCTGATATTCTGAAGCAAAAAACTGCAGAGGAATGGCCTGACGTTCTTCTCGTAGACCCAGAACAAAAGGGTAGTATCTGGAGATTCCCTAGTAAAACGGTCCAAATGCAGTATATCTTCCTAAAATAAAGGAAACTCTAAAATAAACTCTACTCACATACACAAAACAAAGTTTAACACGCGTTACTGACTCATTTTACAGATCGACCAGCAGCCTATCAAACACCTGAGGATAGTCACCAGCATCAAAACCATAACAATACAAAGAAAAATGACTCCAAAGAAAATACAGATAATGCAAAGAACTACCTTATTTTGGTTTATTTTTTTAAATAAAAATTTAAATGTAAACAGACCATAAGCTAAGCCAAGACTGTTTCTACTCATGTGGTCTTGCACCTATACTGTTCTCTCTGAGTGCTGAAATAGAGCCCCTAAAGCACAATAAGGACTTCCATTTGTGACATGCCCGATGCAATCATGGCATATTTCCCCTCCTATGTCCTTTTACACAAACTAAGTGAACTTGCTGCCCAATTATGGTCTCTTAGGAGTAAGACATTTAAGCTATACCCAAGATCACGGCTATGGATCATGTACTGTGGGTGCTAAACTACTTCACCTAATTTTACAAAAATTATATAACAGATTGTTCATATGATTCAACAGAAAAGCAACAAGAGTTAAAAATCATCTCACCTGACTTAAACTGGAAGGCTGAGTATCAGTAAGTCTTGGTGAGAGAAGGCCAGCAACAAGACATCGATTATAACCATCAGGAATGACTTCATTGAGACATGGTCCCGATTTCTTTAAAAAAGTCACAGTCTGTAGTAGATAAATTAGTAAGATATCAGTACTTAAATCATCAAATTTAAGAATAATTAACAGATCATGACTCTAGTTCACACTTAAACTAAATGAAAATAATGAAAGACTACATTTCCTTGCAAGGAAAAGGTTTCAAAAATTCTTGAGCTAAACCAATGCTTACTAGTTATAAATGATAATACTACTGATAAGGGTATTTTAGGTAGCATATATATATTTACAAAAGATAACCCCATTATATTCTCTAAAGGTAAGCCTGTTATATTCACTAAAGCTGACAGATTTGGCAACAAATCTTGATGAACTTCACACATGCACCCTGCAGCTTACTCTTTTTGATGTAATGCAAAAGAAGTCTGATACCAAGTATAAACATGGCATTCACTAACATTTGGCTGATTATTAAAAGGTCTGCCACATCATATTTCCCTAGAAAAATATTTTTCAATATAGTGAACTTATTATTGTACTGTGCCATTGTGATAGGCAAGCCTTCTTTACATTACTTCATTTCTTTGTAAGCTCTCTGAAGAGAACTAAGAAGGATAAAAAAGGATGTAGTTGGCCATGTGTTGTGGTGCAGCAGATTAAGTCACTGCCCACAATGCTGGGATCCTGTATCAAAGCACCAGTTTTGAGTACTGGCTGCTATGTTTCTGATCCAGCTCCCTGATAATGCACCTGGGAAAGCAGTGGAAGATGGTCCAAGTTCTTGGGCCCCTGCCACCCACATGGGAGACCCAGATGGAGATTCAGGCTCTTGGTTTCAGACTGGCCCAGCCCCAGCCATTGCAGCCATCAAGGAGTGAACCAGCACATGGAAGATCTCTGTCACTACCTTTCAAATAAATAAAAATTAAAAAAAAAAAAAAAAAAAAAAAAAAAAGGACATGGTAAGCATTGACCTATTCACTTCCTAGCTATTAAGTAGCTAGCATCTACATAAAGCTGCTAAAAACATCCCAATGCTTCCTCTGGCAGACTATCAATACTAAGTGATATTAATCTCAAAACTAGGAGAAGCTACCATTTAAGCTCAAATGGTAGTTTATATAATTAACATTGAAGTTTAAATCCATGAATCAAGTATATTCCAAGATCTGACTTCAGTTCAAATAACAGTCTACACTGCTGTTACTTACCTCCTTTTGAAAGCCAGTGCAAGTTATATGAACAACTCCTGAGTTTAACAAACAAGTGGCATCTAAAAAAATAGTAATGAAGATTATAAAAAACCTCACTTACATATATGTAAACTGCTTAAAACAACAAATTATGTCCTAAAACTAGATGGCTAGCGAAGGTTCAATCATAAAGAACAAATTTTTAAATTAACTTTTCCAAGGACCGGTGTTATGACATAGTAAATAAAACTACCACCTGTGGCGTTGGCGCCAGTTCATGTTCCAGGTGATCTGTCAATCCAATTCCCTAGACTGGGAAAAGCAGTGGAAGATGGCTCAAGTACTTGGGACCCTGCCATCCATGTGGGAGACCTGGAAGAAGTTCTGGGGGTAGGCAGTTGCACCATCTGGGGAGTGAATCAGCAGATGGAAGAGTTTCTCACTCTTTCTCTCTCCCTGTCTGTAACTCTTTCAAATAAATAAATAAATAAATCTTAAAAAAAAAAAAAGACTAAAATAAACTTTTCCAGGTATTTTCACACTAAGAATCAATAACAACCCTTATTATAAATGTGTTAGATGTGAAATAGTTAACATTGTTTCTTATAAATTCAAAATAGTAGCAATTTCTTTATTAAACAATTAAGTATTAAATTCCTCATTACATGTATCAAATTTATTTCCAGTTATCCATATATTAACAAGATTGTGCTTTGAACAGATCTCACTTTGTGTGTAAACTACAAATACACACATGTACATACTCTTGTATATTAATTCTCACAAAAGATACACATACCAAAATACAAAATACATACCAAAATTATAAGCACTTGGGTTAAAAAACTGCTCAGGAGGTGGATATGTAGGAGGAACTCCTCGACTTAAACTTCTCTCATGTACCAATATATCCAAGATGTAATGTGGAGAACTCCTACTTATAACAGAGTCCAAAGACCACAGAGCAAAATAAGAGCAATTATGTAGATATTCTCCAGATCTAAAAGAAAATATCATAAATTACTAGGTCATTGATCAGCTCTATATAAAAACCAGACAAAGAGTGAGAAAATAGAAAAGAATATATACCTTAATGAATCTGGCATTTGAGCATGATACCAACGATTTATGTCAAAAAGTCCCAAATAAATAGAAGGTTTTCCCTGCCCATAAACATTCACTTGCCAGGTAAAAACTGAAACACTAGTGTCAGGAGATAGGGCTGAAAGAAAAAAAAAATTTTAATGGAATATAAAATCGCAAAATAAAATCATCCCTACAGAATTATTTTTGTAGAGATGTAGATTTTTCTCATAAACCAAGAATCTTAATTCATATTTCATTTGGTTTGTTAAGATATATTTCTATCATTGGTGTGTAAGAGATGCATTTACTTGTATCTTGAGTGTTTCTCTATTTTAAGATCATTTTAAAAAGTACTCATTATGAAAATTAAACTCCAGCTCATTTTCAGTAAAGAACTTGTTAACTTGAAGCAATGTAGGTATAAAGCAGAAAATTATTTGAATGAATACTCTCCAAAGGATAGTACATAGGCATGTCTTGACATTAAGGCTTAATTCTTCAGAGGAATGGGGGTTGAAAAGGAATGATTTAACTATACAGTGAAGGGAAATACAGACTACCTGGATGGTGACTGTGGAATGGAAAGACAGGAATAGAGTAAGAAACATCAACAGGGGAAGAGGAAAGTATAAATCTGAGATACTACTAATGAGAAACAGAAAAAGATATGAATGAGGGGAGAGAATATGTGACAAGCTGTTTAAACATGCTTAACTGGCTCACTGGTGGGAAATAGGACAGAGTGAATCCCAACAGAAACACAAATATAATCAAGGCCCTGGTAAGCAGTTCCAGAACTGAATGAGCCTCTAATAGTATCTCAATTAATCCTTACAATCACCCTTTGCAAGAGGATCCCTCAATTATACTTATAGAATAAGGGCTGAGAAATGTTAAATAATTTGTCAAAGGTCACAATTAGTAATAGGGCTGGAATTTGAACCAATGCTGGATGTGAAAACCTATGCAACTTTATTATGCTTTTTAAGAAAGGGAGACAGAAAAAAAAATTCAAGGCAATCATGTGGCATATTTGACATGGTACCATCTACCCATCAAAAACAGAAAGGCGCTTAAACCCAGAGGGAAACATCCAGAAACTGTTCACACTAAGAAAGAAGAGAGGCTATCTTTGTACACCTTGAGAGCTAGATTAAAATATAAGGATCCTTCATTTCCCTAACTAATTCGGTTTTTGAGTTCTATATAGTAATGTAAAGAACAAGAAATACTAGTATCTCTTACAGACCTGTATCTACAAAGACCTAAGTTTTATAATTAGTACTCCATTTTAACTGTCAGGAATATAAACTCTAGAAACCAGGAGCTGTCATAAATCTTAAATTATGATAAATCTTAAGTCAAGACTTTACAAGAAACAGTTATAGCACATTAAACCAACCTTCATTCATGGCTTCTTCCCTGTCACCATGAGATCTAAATTTCTCTATACTCTGGCATCCCAACAATTTGGTATTACTAGTCTGTCCCCTCAAAGGAAACATGCCACCTGTCAGGTCCAGTGTGTATCTTTCTTCACAATACTCTAACCCCTGTAACATAAGAGATACACAATCTTAAAAGGATTCTAAATAAAAGGTCATTCTAAAATTAAACATTCTCCAAATTTAAAGATTTAACACACAATACAAAGAAAATATAAATATTAGGTTGAAGAAACAAATCATAGAAAAAGAAACAAATCATGGAAAATCAATTGCACACATAATTCAAGTTGGTCTATATGGAGTTCCTGAAATCCATCTATATATATATATCCCTCAAAAACTAGGTGAAGAAACTCTCTTCTATAGTCAGGGAGGTAAGGGCTGGCAAAATATGGCTCCCAGTAGCATCCTATCATTTCTTAGGAATTCAGCCAGAAAAACATAGGTAGTTATCTGAAAGTCTAGATGTATATACCCTCTTAAAGGCATCCTATGGCTAACTGTTTGATGTGTTAGAGCAAAAAAGTAGGATTATTTTTCCTGGGTGCCAATTAGGATACAAGCTTGAGCAGTCAATCCAATTCCTCTATTTTAGAAGAAAATGATACCCAGAGAAGTTACAAGTACTACCTTGGTAAAATACTATACTACAAATACAGTATTAACTTGAATATAAGAACTTTCCACATCCTAAAACAAAGAAAATACACTTAAAATAGGAAAACAATGAACTAAATGGCTCATATAAAGTCATATTCCAGGAGCAGGCGCTGTGGCACAGGATGGTTAAGCCACTACTTGGGATACCCACATCCCATACTGGAGTACCTGGGATTGAAGCCTGCCTCCATTTATGATCCAGTTTCCTGCTAATGCACATAGGAAGGCAATAGTTGATGGCCCCAATAGTTGACTTTCTGACACCCTTTTGAGAGACTCAGAGTAAGTTTGGACTTCTGGCTTTACCCCGGCTCAGATCTGGATGTTGCAGATGAATCAGTGGATGGAAAATCTCTCTCTTGTTTTCCAAATAAAACAAACAAACCCATATTACAATTTACCTCATATAAGATTTGTCCTGATGCCAAACACTTTCTATCACCAAAGGCGAGCTGAAGCAGATGCAAGCTTAAAACATCCCCTTCACTGAAAGAAACATATGAAATTAACTGAAGACACACACTAGACATCATATTAAGGTTACACATCTCTTCCTTTCCAAATTAACTTAGGTTGCATGCAATGTGACAAAACTAAGGTTGAGAAGAATTCAGTTTTATTGGTTATTTTCACAAAATGAAGTCCCTTGAAACAACAACTTCTTTAAAAATTCATTCTAATTAAGGGCAGAGACTCAATACTCTTTCTCAATAGTCCTCCTTCAATAGGTATATTTTATTTAGACATATGCACAATAAATGTATAAACTATATGTCCCAGCTTTCTTTGCAGTTAAGTACAGTGGCCCTGTAGCCAAATTCTAGCCAATGGGATATAAGCAGAATTATAACATGGCAATTACAGAGAGCCTTCCTTAAGGGACAACATAATCTCTGTTCCTCCTTCTTGGTTTTCCCTTCATCTTGTTATGCTTCCACTTCAACTCAAGCTGATGCTCTGGACCACCAGGATGATGGCTACACCATAAAATATGAGAATCACTAGAGATTAGAAAAAAATACCAATGCTTAGGTCTTCACAGGAGAAACTAACTTAACTGGTCTGAGGCAGCCACACCAAATTCAAACACTTTAATATCCTGGCCCACATATCCATACATCCAGACTAGTTCTGCGTTTCTGTGCTCTTATATGACTGCTCTGTCCTCTACCTTTACTGGTCTTGGTGTTCTTTGAGACATTTTACTAAGACCTGGGTACCGTTCCCAACAGATCTTCCAAGGGCTCGCACCCTTCCCTGCCCTTCATACCAATCTTTTTTTTTTTTTTTTTTCGACAGGCAGAGTTAGACAGTGAAAGAGAGACAGAGAGAAAGGTCTTCCTTTTTCCGTTAGTTCACCCCCCAAATGCCTGCTACAGCAGGCGCATTGCGCTGATCCAAAGCCAAAAGCCAGGTGCTTCCTCCTGGTCTCCCATGCGGGTGCAGGGCCCAAGCACTTGGGCCATCCTCCACTGCCTTCCCGGGCCACAGCAGAGAGCTGGACTGAATGAGTAGCAACAGGGACAGAATCCAGCGCCCCAACCGGGACTAGAACCTGGGGTGCCAGTGCCGCAGGCAGAGGATTAGCCAAGTGAGCCGTGGCGCCGGCCCATCCCAATCTTTTTGACTCTACACTATCTAAAGATAGCTATATTACCTAAAACAGTTCGTTATAGTCTACCATATTCTAAATAGCCTCTTTTCCAGATGATTTTCTTCATTTATTAACATCATTACCTGAAATTATATTAAATATTTATCCTAGTCTGTTTATTTACAACTATCTCTCTCTCACTGGAGCATAAGCTTTAGAAAAGAAATTTTTATATCTAACAGGTTGCTATATTCCTTAGAAGAGTTACTGATGCACTGAAGATACCCAGGCCATAAACCCAAATGGTCAACCAGATAGACTACAAATACAATCAACATTAAAGGGAACACCCACCAGTCATTTTCATCCTTCTTTCTGATCATACAAAAGGAAATGTGACTTTTATTATAATTGAGGAAATACTACATTAACAATTTAAGGTAAATTTATGGTTGGTACATTAACTCTACAGTGATTATTCCTTTTCCACTTTTTAAATTTTTCCTCAAATGATCACCTGGATGGGGAAAAAAAGATCACTCCAACTGTTTTCCCAATTTGGACTTATAAACTAAATTTTTTATTTTAATCTGATTTTCATAACTAGGTGCTACAAGATTTAATGGGAGGCATGGGGGAGAGAATAGGCATTGTAATAGCACATATTGTTAAGGAAATTAAGTGACTGAAAGCAGGATTTCTGACTCATGGATCTTTCTGTAAGCATAGGGCAGCCTGTGAACTCCTTTAAATTGTATAATACTTACTTACATTTTTTTTATGTATATACACATTTACACACAAATATATACCATATCTATCACCACATTCTCAAAGAGGTGTATGACCCATTAATATAAGGGTCCTAATCAAATAGACATATATACCAGATCTCAAAACAATCTTGTATCAATTATTGTGACAAATCCAAAATAAGTCATTTAGGAATAAAGAATCCAAACTATAAACCACATTAAACTTGTCCTATTAAAATAAGGTAAAAAGTACTAAAGTGATTTTAAAAGCATTAAAGCATTGTACCCATATGCTAATTAATCAATGTGTTGTCGATAACAAAGATAAGTGAATATTAAGACACAAGTGTAAGAAAAACAGAAAACACTACCCTGCTCATATTTAAAACTGTGTTTCATGTCCTTAGAATACATATACAATTCTGAAAACAACCTCAAAAACATAGTTCACAGAATATTTTTAAAAATCGGAAGGAAAATTCAGATAGCTTAATGATTAAGGACAGAGTGGGCATCATATACACACAATTTTTAAAAAAAATTAGTAAATCTGTAAAACCAAGAGTTGTACAGTAAACATGAATGCAGACTTATTTGCCATGGTCCCAAATAATCTAAGAGCGAACGCTTTTTAGACTTTAGTGTCAAAAATCTAGAAAAAGTAAAACAAATCAAACACCAAACAAACAAACAAAACACAGAGAAGCAATAATTTATAAAACTTATCCTAAGCAACAGCACTGAAAGGAAAAAGAAATGGAATATAATTGTTTCAATCCATGTTCTCCCTCAAACCCCACTCCACAGGGCCTTCCTGAATCACATCTCTCAAACTGGTACTAGGCCACACTACAACCAAATGTATAGGACTATGGATACAATTCAATAGGAGAGCTCAGTAGCTGTTTCTGTATTATCATTTCAATTTTCTCCAGGACTGACAAATTTCAAATGTGGTAAACCAATTCTTCATCCACTGACTCACTACAGTGTAGGCTTAGACATAACATAAAAGTGGGAATATAGGGGCGGGTGCCATGGCTCATTTGGTTAATCTTGCGCCTGTGGCGCTGGCATCCCATATTTCTAGTCCCAGTTGCTCCTCTTCCAGTCCAGCTCTCTGCTGTGGCCCAGGAGGGCAGTGGAGGATGGCCCAAGTGCTTGGGCCCCTGCACCCATATGGGAGACCAGGAAGAAGCACCTAGATCCTGGCTTCGGATTGGTGCAGTGCTGGCTGTAGCGGCCATTTGGGGGAGTCAACCAGCAGAAGTAAGACCTTTCTCTCTGTCTCTCGCTTGGTCTATAACTCTACCTGTCCAAAAAAAAAAAGGTGGGGATATACCCAACACAAAGATCCAAAATGATCACAGTTCAGTCACCAAGAACTTGACATATGATGGTCTTGGGAAAAGATAGTACTAGTAACAGTAAGTTATTGAGATCATTTATACCACAAGCCTAACTGTTTCATCACCAAAGAAAGAACTAAGCATCAAAAATAACTACTTTACTTGTATTTTTCCAGCATTAGGAATGCACATGCTTAATCAGTTGGAAATTAAGTTGAAAGAATTCTTATTAGTCATATGCTGCAACAAAATCAGAGCTTATGACAGGGAAAGATTAGTAAGAATATGAAAGGTGAAGAGGGTGACTACAGAACAGAGTGAGGATAAATAAAAAGAAGAGTGAGGCACATATAACAGAAATAGGAAAAGGAATGACATTTTAAATGAGAAAAGATGTTCTTAGAGGCATAAGGCCATAAAAATTGCCTAACTGGAGCTGGAGCTGTGGCGTAGTGAGTAAAACTGCCGCCTAAACTGCTGGCGTTCCATATGGGCAGCGGTTGAGTCCTGGATGCTCCGCTTCCCATCCAGCTCTCTACTATGGCCTGGGAAAGCAGAAGATGGCCCAAGTCCTTGGGCCCCTGCACCGGTGTGGGAGACCCAAGGAAGCTCCTGGCTTTGGATCAGTGCAGCTCTGGCCATTGAGGCCACCTGGGAAGTGAGCCAGTGGATGGAAGATCTCTCTCTCTCTCTCTGCCTCTCCAATAAATAATCTTAAAAAAAAAAATTGCCTAACAAGAGGTTGCTGACTTAACCATATTGACTTACTTTTGAAAAAACATCTGAATAAGTCAAGTAAGCCTAACTTCTTAGTGACATTTCAGAATTATTCAAACATAAGAATCATTTTTTTTAATAATTTCAACTACCATTCACTGAAAGAACTATACTACTTTCACTAAAGAAATAACATAGTACAAAGCTTTCTGGAAGAAATTAGTTCACTTTTGACAATTTTTTTTAAACCACATGTATCACACTTACCTATCTTGTGTAGACTGAACGGCCCACAAGTAACAGCAATTACGAGGATCATTTTCAGGTTCTTGAAAAGTAACAGCATATACAGGAACTCTGCCACCTTCTAATTGTGTGTAATACCTAAAACATGAAAAATCAGCATAGCTCATATTTTCAAGTTACAATCTTATCATAAAGGAAAAGAGAGGTCTTCATGTGAGAATCTAGGTTAAGCAATCATTTATAATTCCTAAAATTACATCATTTGAGGGGCATGGTCAAGTCATCTTCAAAAATGCACAGAGCAAGAAAGACAAAGGCCATGTAGAAATGGGAAGGGTTAGAGTTACTAAAGTACATACACATTTTTGGGTGAGTTAGTAATCAAAAATCACATCCATGTACATCAATCACATTGTACTACTCCCAATAAGCAGTAGCTTACAAAGAGATCAAACACTGCTACAACACTCCATCTCAGCTACTTAAGGTTAGAGTCAGTTTCTTCACTACTAAAACAGAGTACAAGTTAGAAACTGAAGAGTTCCCATGAACTCCTTAAAAAGCACATTAGCCAAGAGATATCAGTGGTACTTTGGTACCACTTTGGGTACTCCTTTAAAAGAAATTCCAAGACAAGAGCTGCTAAAAGATTAATAGCAAAGAGAGTTGAAATCAACTTTCTAAAAGATAAATTACTCAAGAAAATATAGCAACATGACTTGGAGGATTAAAAAAAAGAGAGAAACAATTAGACGGCTACAAATAGACAGCTAAAAAGCCAAGCAGACCTTTACTTAACTCTTAACAGCGCTTAATGCTTTTCTGCTTTGTTCAATATTTATAGGCAATTTTAACTATAAAGACTAAAAGCTTCAATATAATTATAGTTGGGGGATGACAGACATTTTACAACAAGTATTTTACAACTTTGATTTTCAAAAATTGTTTCTGTCAATTGAGAACACTTTATTAAACTGCTGCTTTACAGATAAGAGGGAAAAATACTTCTGAAAGAACATATACAATTAATTAATCTTTACATAATACAATCAATAATTTATTAGCACTTGGTACAGCATAACTGCAATATAAACACTGAAAGAAACAACCAAAATTTATGTGTTAAGTGAATTCTTTACAAAATCAAATTATACTTTAATGCAATGAAAAATTATACTTTCCACTACCCTATCCTTTTCACATTATGCCAATTTTCAAATATTCATAACTCGCTGTTGTACTCAAAAAGAAACTGCCAGTAATCAACTAAGAAAAAAAAGTTATACTTACTCTCTTTTCATGCTTTTCATATTCCAAAGTGCTAGATAGCCATCAGAAAAACCTACAGCAAGCTGATTTGTCCTGTTGATGTAACTAAGAGTTGAAATGCTTGTTCCTGATGGGCTTACTAACTGGAAACATAAATGGCGCCCTTCTCTCATCACACTTTCTCTGATGTGTGGTACTTCAGCTGGGATACCTGTTACAACTTCAAGGTCTGAAAACAAAAATTAATAGTAACAACATAAATATGTATTAAAACAAATACGTCATCCATACTCAATCCACAAATGGAATCAACTGTATTGATTAAATAGAAGCAATTTAAAAATTAGTGATAAAGCATGCTGAAGCAGAAAGATACTCTTATCTACTTAATGGGATAATTCTAAAAATGTTTAATTGGATCAACTCGAAAAACTAAGTCCATCTCAAATATTATCTAAATCAGAATCTTTAAGTGGATATACAACTTCGTTACATTTCAGAAATAAAGATGATTATTTAATTCAAGTTTAGAACTACAATCTAACTACTTTCCTTGAAGGAATGGCTGATTCCAAGTCTCAAGTAGGAGATATGTTAAGATGATCCTGGTATAGCTCATACCAGAAATCTAGAAGGGGCCGGTGCTGTGGCGCAGTAGGTTAATCATCCATCTGCGGTGCCAGCATTCCATATGGGCGCCAGTTCAACTTCCAGCTGCTCCTCTTCCAATCCAGCTCTCTACTATGGCCTGGGAAAGCAGCAGAAGATAGCCCAAGAGCCTGGGGCCCTGTACTTGCATAGAAGACCCAGAAGAAGCTCCTGGCCTCGGATTGGCAGAGTTCTAGCAGTTGCAGCCATTTGGGGAGTAAACCAACGGATGGAATACCTTTCTCTCCGTTTCTCCCTCCGACTATAATACTATCTCTCAAATAACTAAAATCTTAAAAACCATGAAAATAAATGAAACACACTAAGTATGTTAAATCTCATGAGATCATATTTTAAAAAATATATATAAACAAAAAGATGGGGGCGAAGTCCTCCCCTTACAAAAGATCTAATTGAACCAGGAAGTATACTCAGTATCAACTTCTGATTCTGAAAATAAGTACTTATAGTAAATATCCTGCCTCTTCTGTACAAACTGTATGTCGAGATAACCAAACAGTTCTATATAATGAGAAAGTGTGTCTTCATGTTGACAGACTGAAAAATAAATCATTTGGAGAGTAGGCTTTTTTTTTTTTTTTTTTGACAGGCAGAGTTAGACAGTGAGAGTAAGAGTGAGAGGAGTGAGAGAGTGAGAGTGAGAGTGAGAGTGAGAGAGAGAGAGAGAGAGAGAGAGAGAAAGGTCTTCCTTTTCCGTTGGTTCACTCCTCAATGGCTGCTGCGGCTGGCGCGCTGCGGCCAGCGCACTGTGCTGATCTGAAGCCAGGAGCCAGGAGCCTCTCCTGGTCTCCCATGCAGGTGCACGGCCCAAGCACTTGTGCCATCCTCCACTGCCTTCCGGGGCCACAGCAGAGAGCTGGACTGGAAGAGGAGCAACCAGGACAGATTCCGGTGCCCCGACCAGGACTAGAACCCGGGGTTCCGGCACCGCAGGCGGAGGATTAGCCTAATGAGCCGTGGCACCGGCCTGAGTAGGCATTTTTAAAAAAATGTCTTTATTTATTGAAAGTCAGAGTTACAGAAAGAGGAAGAGATAGAGAAATAGAGAAAGATCTTTCATCCAATGGTTCACTCACCAGATGGGCACAATGGCTAGGGCTGGGCCAAGCCACAGTCCAGAGCCAGAAGCTCCATCCGGGTCTCTCCCACGTGGATGCAGGGGCCCAAGCACTTGGGTCATCTTCCACTGCTTTTCCCAGGCCATTAGCAGGGAGCTGAATAGGAAATGGAGCATCCAGGACTCGAATCAGTGTCCATATGGGATGCCAACACTGCAGGTGGTGGGTTTATACACTATGCCCTAATGCCAGCCCTGGGTACAGGCATTTGATGTAATGGTTAAGATGCCAGTTGAGGCTGGCGCCGCAGCTCATTAGGCTAATCTGGACCTGAGAAACAGCAGGTAATCACTTTAGTTAAATCCCTACCATCCACACAAGAGACTTAGATTGAGTTCCTGGATACCTACTTCAACATGGCCCAGCCCCAATCTTTGTGCAAATCTGGGGAGTGAGCCAGTAGAGGGAGCTCGCTCTAGTTGTCTCTTACCTCTCAAATTAATTTTTTTTTTAAAAAATCATCATTTTGCAGCCCTTAAGGAAAAAATGATTCATACAACTATATCAATAAATGGAACAGTTTCAGCTGACTCTTGAATAATGAGGTTAGGACTGCCTCCCCCTGTGCAGCAATCAAAATCCCAAATATAACTTTTTACTCCCCCAAAACTTAACTATTAATAGCCTGCTTTTGACTGGAAGCTTTGCTGATAACAATACAACCAATTAATATACATTTTACATAGTGTGTGTATTATTTTCTGGGAAGTCCAAGAGATGACTTTTTAAAAAAATTTTGAGGGGGGCCCAGCATTATGGCACAGCAGGTTAAGCCTCTGCCTGAGATGCGGGCATCCCAAATGGGGACTGGTTCAAGACCCAGCTGCTCTACTTCTGATCTGGCTCCCTGCTAATACACCTGGGAAAGCAGTAAAAGTTGGCCCAAATGCTTGGGCTCCTGAACCCATATGGGAGACCTGGAAGCTCTGGGTTCCTGGCTTCAGCCTGGCCCAGACCTGTCCGTTGCAGCCATTTGGGGAATGAATTAGTAGATGGAGATCGATTTCTCTCTATGTAACTCTGCCTTTCAAATACATAAAAAATAAAAATCTGAGGGGCCAGCTCTGTGGTGCCAGCAAGTTAAGACACCACCTGCTTCATGTCAGAGCACCAGTTTGAATCCTGGCTACTCCATTTCCCACCCAGCTCCCTGTTAACGTGCCTTGGAAAGCAGTGGAGAATACCCACATGGAGACCAGGATGGAGTTCTGGGCTCCTGGTTTCACCTGGAGCCATTGGAGCCATCTGTGAAGTAAGTCAGCAGATGGAAGGTCCCTGTCAATCCCCACCACCAATCACCCCACTACTCACTCTAACTGCCTTCAAAAAAAAAGGAGACCGAGAGAGGCAGAGAGGATCAGCAATGAAGAGGGGACAGAGAGAAGAAACCACACTCTCATCTGCTGGTTCCACTCCCCAAAAGGGATAAAAAGCTGGAAGATGAGAACTCAACCCAGGATGCTAGTGTGGGTAGCAAAGACCCAACCACTTGGGCCATCACCTGCTGCATCCCAGTCTAAGCATTAGCAGAAGCTGGAATTTGGAGTAAATCAACACCTGATCCCAGGTAAGGGATGTAAAGATCTTAATCACTAGGCCAAATGCAGCAGATCAAAAAACTCCTCATTTCTCCCTCTGTCTCTATCAGTCTGCCTTTCAAATAAATTAATCTTGTGTTTAAAAATGAAAACTAAATAAATTTATCTTGGAAAAAAGAAGGTCCTCAAAGTTTCAGGGTCAAATGGTACCTCTCTTAAAATTTACAATAAAACAGGTTCTATAGGGCTTTCAGGTCAGCCCTTCCTTTCTACATAAACCAATCAATAATCTCATTTAAAATGAAGCACCTGAAAAGTGTATTTATGCATATAACCACTTAAAACAGAAAACATATCTGTCTTTACTTTGAATTGCACTAATTCTATTTTTTTTGTTTGTTTGTTTGACAGGCAGAATTAGACAGTGAGAGAGTGAGAGAGTGAGAAAGAGAGAGGTCTTCCTTTTTCCGTTGGTTCACCTCCCAAGTGGCCGCTATGGCCGGTGCGTTGTGGCCGGCACGCTGTGCCGATCCGAAGCCAGGAGCCAGGTGCTTCCTCCTGGTCTCCCATGGGGTGCAGGGCCCAAGGACCTGGGCCATCCTCCACTGCACTCCTGGGCCACAGCAGAGAGCTGGACTGGAAGAGGAGCAACGGGGACAGAATACGGCACCCCGACCAGGACTAGAACCCGGGGTGCTGGTGCCGCAGGCGGAGGATTAGCCTAGTGAGCTGTGGCGCCGGCTGCATTAATTCTGTTTTATGATATTATTTGTAAGAAAACTTTCCATTATGCTAATTCCTATTAAGTTATTTTATTTCTATCCTGTTCTTACCATAGCAACATAAACAGTATGCCAAAAACACTGTATTACATTCTATACAGCTGGGTAAGTTTATACTGATAAGCAATAAAGATTTTAGTCTTTAGACCTCTGACATTATTTAAGAATAGATCTTAAGTATATAATTGTATATAAGTAATCAATATCCTTATTTTGTCAAGACCTATATTACCACAGTGCCTAGGTGAAAACACTAAAACAGACACGTAACAATTTTCTATACAAAAAGTTTTAACTTTTTTTAAAAAAACAATCCATTGCATCAGAACATGCAAGTGCTTTAATTGATTTCAAGTAAGAAATGACAAATTACCTGATGCCTCTATCTCATTCTGACTGCATGACAAATCATCCAAACACAGATCAATAAGAAGGATCTGTCCAACATCAGTTACCACAGCTGCCACACCAAAAAGCCACCGCAGACTTGGGTGTAAATGCTGAGTGCTTGCGCTGGCTCCTCCATGATTGATTATAGGTTCAATAGCTGTTACCTAGAAAGCAGAATATATGATTCACTTTTTATCTCTAAAGTGCAAAAACACTTTAACACTTAACACTTTAACAGCTTAATAAAGAAAATATGGAGTTAAACAGATTTTAAATTATCAAATATAGAATCATAAATTCTAATACTTCGGAATTCACACATAATGAAACTTCAGATATATTGTGAACTATACTATTATTTCAATATATTAAAAATCATGTAGCTGGAATAATAAATGATGTCTACCGAGAGCTCATTATACATCGTTCATGATAATCCTTTGATATTGAATTACATGTAATTATCTGTTAAAAGATGAGATAACCCCAGGCTTAAAAGAGTAAGCAGTTACTCAGGTCATAAAATCACTAAGTGTAAAATTCTAATGTTCTCATTTTAAGGCTTAAACCAGCACTTTAGGATTATATAGCCTCTTCTCCCTTAAAAATGAACACGAAATCATTCCATTAAAAATATACTGTAAAAAAAAAATACAAATAAAATGTTTAAGTTCTCTTTATGTCTTACCAGACTAAAGAGAACCAGTCTTCTCTATGAAAGTGTTCTAGTCAAGTCTGGCACTGTGGCGTGTTGGGTGAAGCCACCACCAGCAGTGCTGGCATCTCTTACAGGTGCCAGTTCAAGCCCTGGCTGCTCCGCTTCCAATCCAGCTGTCTGCTATGGCCTAGGAAAGCAAATCCTTGGGCTCCTGCACTCGCATGGGAAACCCGGAAGAAGCTCCTGGCTCCTGGCTTCAGACTGGCTCAGCTCCAGCCGCTGCGGCCATTTGCGGAGTGAACCAGCAGATGAAAGACTCTCTCTCTGCCTCTGCCTCTCTGTAACTCTGCCTTTCAAATAAATAAATAAATCTTTAAAAAAAAAAAAAAAGTGTCCTAGGCAACTGGAATTCATACAAAGCTCTGGCAGTACCTAAATCACTGATGTTTAACAAAGATTTGAACTATTTAAAGAAAGGTATTTGTAGCTACCTTATGGAGCTGTATCCCATACCATGAGTCAATTTTTAAAATTTGAGGGGAGAGACAGAGAGAGCGATCTCCCATTCACCAGGAACCCAATCCAGGTCTCCTGCATGGGAGCAGACACACAACTACTAAAGCCATCCGCATCAACAGGAAGCTGGAGAGAGGCACCTGACTGTGGCACACGGACCTCTTAACCACTAAGCTAAAAGCTCTGCTCAAATACTTTCATCCAGATGATCAGAGTCCTCTCCATGTTACCTTCTGAAAACGTCTTCAATCTCTTCCACCTTCTCCATTTCTACTCTCATTTCTTTGCTTTAGTTCCTCATCATTATTTACTTGAACTATACAGGTCTCTTTGTATCTAATTTTCCTATCACTCTTCCTGACCCAATCCAAGGAGCTTTTTCATATCCAAGAGTTCTCCTTAAAATTTAAAATTACTTCACTCTAGACTTTAGGAGGAAGCACCCAATTATAAGCAAGGCAATTCATAATCTGAATTCTCACCATTTCTGGCGCCTATTTTCTCCTTTCCTTCAACTCTCGCCATTATTACTAAATTAAGTCTAGTTTCCCAAACACTCCATGTTGGTCTCTGCCCAAGATACCCAACCCTTTTGAGAAATTATCCAAGTATTCTTTGTGTCCCCAGTGAGTAAATCTATCAAAGTACTCATTAAAATATTTAAACCATTTTATTTGTTTGCCTTTTCCAATTTAACTTTTTGAAAGTATGGACCAAGTTCAATTAATCTATTTATCCCCAGAATCTAGTACATAGCTTTATTTTACAATAAGCACTCAATAAATTGCTAAATTAATTACACCTCTAAATTCTTTTTTCTACTGTAGTCTGTCCATCAGTATGTGGAAGTACATAAAAGAAACTGGGTTGGGCCTGACGTTGCAGTGTGGCGAGTTAAGCTGCTGCCTGCAACACTGGCATCCCATTATGGGTGCTGGTTCTAGTCAGGACTGCTCTACTTCTGATCCAGTTTCCTGCTAATGGCCTGGGAAAGGCAGTGGAGGATGGCCCAAGTGTTTGGGACCCTGCCACCCACATGGAAGACACAGGAGAAGCTCCTGGCTTCAGCATGTTTGCAGCCATCTGGGGAGTGAACCAGCAGATGAAGGCTCTCTTTCTCTCTCTCTGTGTTTACTCTTTCAAACAAATAAATTTAAAAAGAACAACAACAAACTACCAGGTTATAAACTACTGCAGAGCCCCACAATATCTCACTGGGCCTGATTTTCTTCAATTGTAATTTTGTCATTAAATTTCCTTTTAATTTGAAAAATTCTATTCTTCTATGACTATATATATTATATGTATACACCAAGTGACTTTAAAAAGTTCAAGGAAAATATGTATTATGAAAAAACTATACATGCACTTCAGAATTTTTTCCCACCAAAGTAAACTAATACTAAATTGTTATGTCTGAACAGGATCTAACAGCACTAAGGATATCAGTTTGAAGATAGCCCCTTACAGAGTAGCATGAATTCTGATAAAAATGAAGCATTAAGAAACATCAAATTTATGATAAAGCATGGGGGAAGAATGGTGAAATCATTAACAACATACAAAAAAGCACTAGAAAAATGCCCTCTAATAATTGGCAGTTTACAAATGGGTCAATCATTTTAAGAAGTGACAAGAAAATACTGAAGATGAGACCTGGAAGCAACAAACCATCCACAGGAACTTGTAAGGAAAATATTAATCGTGTTCATGCCCTAACTGAAGAGGATCAGCAGCAGAAACAACAGCTAACACCACAGACACTTCAACTGACTCAACTTACACAATTCTAGCTATAAAATTACAGTGCAGCAAACTTTCTGCTCAAGGTAAATTGTAGACAAAAGAAAAGTTTGCAATGGAAATTTTAAACAAGTCGCATCAAGAACCTAAAGCATTTCTTTGAAGAAATTGTAATAAGAGATGAAGCGTGAGTTTACCAGTATGATCCAGAAAACAAAACACAATCCAAGTAATGGTTACCAAGAGGTGGGAGTGATCCAACTAAAGCAAAAGCAGAATGGTCAAGAGCAAAGCTCCTGCCAAAGTTTTTTGGGATGCTCAAGGCATTTTGCTTGTTGGCTTTCTTGAGAGCCAATGAATGTTAACACTTGCTTAGTCTGAAAGTGCTCTGAGAAAGCGGGCCAAAGCTTCAGTAGAAAATCACCAAGGGGCCAGTGCCGTGGCTCACTTGGTTAATCCTCCGCCTGCTATGCCGGGTTCTAGTCCCGGTTGCTCCTCTTCCAGTCCAGCTCTCTGCTGTGGCCTGGGAAGGCAGTGGAGGATGGCCCAGGTCCTTGGGCCCTGCACCCGCAAGGGAGACCAGGAGGAAGCACCTGGCTCCTGGCTTCGGATAGGAGCAGCTCCAGCCATAGCGGCCATTTGGGGGGTGAACCAATGGAAGACCTCTCTTCTCCCTCTCTCACTGTCTAACTCTGTCAAATAATTAAAAAAAAAATCACCAAAGGAAAAACACATAAAAACAAAATTTTTTCAAATTAAAAAAAAAATCACTAGAGAAAAACTTCACCGGAGTCCTTTACATCCACGACAATGCTGCTGCTCATTTCTCTCATCAAGCAAATGGAATTTTCTGAGTTTTGATGGGAAATCATTAGGCACCCACTATACAATCCTGATTTGGCTCCTGCCTTCTTTCTGTTTCAAACTCTTAAAATTTTTTGAAAGGGCATCCGTTTTTTTCTTCAGTTAATAATACTAATAACTCAGGATCCTTAGTTCTTTATTCACTCATTTATTTGACAGATGAAAGCCAGACCAAGAGAGAGCACTCCCATTCTCTAGTTTACTTCATATATATCTGCAGATGGACTGGGAGCTGGGAACTGATTCAGGTTTCCCACAAGGGTGACAGGAAGCCTATTATTTGAGCCATCATGGGCTCATGGGCCTACATTACCAGAAGCTGCAATGAGAACCAGCCATCAAACCAATATACCCTGACATGGGATGTGGGAGTCTTTATTGCTAGGCCCCAGATCAGCCTCCCCTCAGCTCTTTAGGGACAGACTAAATGGCTAGTATCATCACTTATAAAAATTTTTGCTACAAATTTTTCAAGTTCCCTTGTATAATTTGTGTGTATGCTTATCCATGTTTTTTTTTCTTTTTCTTTTTCTTTGACAGGCAGAGTGGACAGTGAGAGTGAGAGTGAGAGAGAGAGAGAGAGAGAGAGAGAAAGGTCTTCCTTTTTGCCGTTGGTTCACCCTCCAATGGCCGCCGTGGGCAGTGCGCTGTGGCCAGCGCACCACGTTGATCCGAAGGCAGGAGCCAGGTGCTTCTCCTGGTCTCCCATGGGGTGCAGGGCCCAAGGACTTGGGCCATCCTCCACTGCACTCCCTGGCCACAGCAGAGAGCTGGCCTGGAAGAGGGGCAACTGGGACAGAATCCGGCACCCCGACCGGGACTAGAACCCGGTATGCCGGTGCCGCTAGGCGGAGGATTAGCCTAGTGAGCCACAGTGCCGGCCGCTTATGCATGTTTTAATAAAGATTTTATTTATTTCAAAGCCAGAGTTACAGAGACAGAGGGAACAACAGGGAGGAGAGAGAGAGGGAGAGAGAGAGAAATCAATCTTCCATCTACTAGTTCTCTTTCCAAATAGTTTCAATACCCAGGGCTGGGCCAGGACAAAACCAGGAGCCTGGAACTCCATCTGGGTCCCCCACATGGGTAGCAGGGGCCATCTTCCACTGCTTTCCCAAGCATACTAAAAGCGAGCTGGATCAGAAATTGAGCAGAAGGGACTTGTACTGGTGCACATAAGGAATGTCGCTGTTGCAGACAGTGGCTTAACCCAGGGTGCCACATCACTGGCTCCAATGCATGCTTTTTAAAATGATATCATATACAAAGAAGTCTAATCTTCTATGACTTTAAATGTATGTGTATTTATGTGTAAATATATACTTTATTTTCATTATGTATGGAAAAGCAGCAACATACCTGATGAGGGGGTCTAGTATTCAAAGTAATTCTATAATTACTATTGGATAAGGTGTCTGGCATATGAAAACACACACATATATATTTTAAAATTAATAGATGATAAGTCCATAGTAAGGAATACACTTTTATAATCTTGAGTGTTCCCATGGAACACAAATGGAAATAAGAACAAAACTCAGAAGATGCTTTTCACACAGAAGAATATTAGAACATTAGATTTCATTCGTAGCTCTCTTTACTTTGGGATGTTCTACTCAAGAATAAAAGTCATATTTTAAATGTTAAGTTCCTAAATACAATCTTTAACCTCTTTTTAAAAACTTTATTGATGAATAACAAATCTACATAAAAATTCACTAGTTATAAATGTACAGTACAATGAATTTTCACAAAGTAAACATATTCCTGTTACCAGTAGGTGTTCAGTTTTGAAAACAGAATGTCCAGATATCTTAAACAGTACCTACCCTTCCAGGAAGAACAACTGCTTTAACTACTCTTGATATACCGAGGTCATAAAGACAGAGGACACTTCCCTCTTCTTCTTCCAAGCCTATTAACAATCCAGTTCTCTTTTGCCAGGTGAATTCTTTCACTGCTAAGACTACAGGAGGATGTTCATTTACTCCACTGAATCTATATGCAGATAAGCGTTCTCCTGTTGAAGAGTTTACTACCTCTAGTTGTGGACCACAAGTCAAGCAAGCAAGTCCATTTTTCACTAGAAGGGAAAAAAAAAGCAAAAACACGGCTTATTTTAATATTGCATGTAAACAAAAAATTAAAACAGCAAATAGCTCTTTTTTAAACATATCATTTATACAGTTCATACATAAAATTTCAAGTACTATCCCAAAATTAAAATTTAAGCATTTACCTAAGTGATGTCTTCAAATTAATAATAGAGCAACTACCATTGCAATAATAATCTAGTAAAAGGATCATGCTATGTGCTTAAATACATTATCTCATCCAATCCTTTTTACAACTCAGCACAGAGATAAGACAATTTAGGCTAATAACAGTTTAGCTCACCAAACATCAAACAATTATATAGTAACAGAGACAATGGCTCTGTGTGGGTGCTTCTTGTTGCAATCTCTGTATGTGTGTGCTTTTTCTAATGCTACAGTGAGTTTTGTACAAAAGTCATTTTTATGGGACTAAATATATATTCTTTGAATTAAAAAAAAAAGTACCAGAGACAGTGGCAGATCCCAAAGTCTAACTTCAAAACTCATATTTTTAAACATTATACTTCCAACTTTAAATCAGGGGCTATGGTAGTTATAAAACCTAACAGCTGATTCTATTCTTGAATAGCTCACAACCTGAGAAAACAAAAATGTAAGAACCCCTTCTTGACCTACTAGTCAAATCTGAATTTTATTCTGCACATAATGTAAAGCTGCTGGATGGCTTAAAAGCAGGTCAGTGACAATCTGATTTATGTTTTAAAACGTTACTTCAGCTGCTGACTAAAGAATGGATGGGGGAGGGGGGAATGCACAGACCAGAAGATAAACTTGTTGGTGACTAGATAGAAAAAAGTGGATCGAGCGCAGATTCATCACACAGAACAGAATCTGCTTGCTGATCAATTAGGTATATGGAGGTGGGTAAAACAGAACCATCAAAACAAACTCTTGAGGTCTCACTTGAGCAACTACTAACTTCTACTATCAAATTTGAGATGCCTGTCATGTATACAAATAGGCAGTAGGAAATATTAGTTTACAGTTTAGGGAGGCTATATAATGTAACTCAATAAAGTAGCAAGGTACAGTGGAGACCCAGAATGCCAGCTTCCTGCTATGCCATGTGATACGGATCAAGTTACTATTTTGTTATCAACAACACAGAACAGTGGCTATTTAGAAAAGTTTTATACTTACACTTCAATGAAAAGTAGTTACAGTGCCTGGCATATAGTAAGTACTGTTAGTACTTCTAATATGCAAGAGAATAGACTATTGAATAGCTAAATGACTGCTTTGCTGCTTACCTATTCAAAGGAAAGCTGTGACATTCCTTTTCAGAAGTTTTCTCTAATCTCTTGTTAGAATAAAATCTGTACATAACTGCCATACAGAGAACTTATGGTTCTCTGCTGTATTACAGTTTAAACAATATACTGGTACCAAAACACAGTCAGATACAGATAAAAGTTCTAGTGTTGCACAGCACATTGGGATGACGATAGTTCACAATAATGTATTATATACTGTATAAAGAACTGGAAGCTAGGATCCGGTGGGCTCCAAATAAAGGAAATGGAAATGCTAACTGATGTAAATGGTTTCCCCTGTATGTATGTATACACACACACACACACACACACACACACACATATACATATATATATGTACTGAAATACTGCACTGTACCCCACAAAAATGTCCAAGTACTGAATGTTAATAAAAGGTATTTAATTATTTTAAATAATTACATAGTAATATATTAGATTTTTGAAATCAGAAAATACTTAAGTTTTTGTAACTTTTTTTTAGTAATTCCTAAGACCATTTACATCTAACCCAAGCTCATCATCAATAAAACTTACTGATTACAAAGAAAAAACAACTGTATCAAAGAAAAAACAGCTGCATATTACTGTACTTCCCAAATACAGATATGGAATACTAAGATATTTGTAAAAAAAAAATGTGTATACAAATACATGGGATTTTTATTAAAGGAAAATCAACTATAACCCTTAAGTGCAGATTTATTGATAAAGTACCTAGAAATGTAGCTGTTACATTGCAGTTGTAGATGTTATGTACTTACATAAGGTCACTCCATTCACATTCTGCTTTTGTTCTTTCATATCAAAGAAACTACAATATATACTGATTATTATTTACCTAACAAGTTAATCAAACTAGTAAACTGTCAGCAACATTATTTTACCTGCAGCAAACTTTCCACGAAGCACAGATTCTAATGTTATTTCGTTTTCTGCAAGAGCTTGAATAGTCACTTCCGGAAACTCCAGGAGACCACTAGTCACCTGAGCCGTTAAGTCTCGCATACTTCCACTGTAAATATTTTTAAAAGATAACATTATGACAAATACATACTATTGTATAGTATAACTGGTTATCTCCAGCCAGAAAAAACAAAGTCACCCAACAAAAGTAAGTAAATTAACACTGAAATCTGGTTATCAACAAATATCTAGTATGTCAGTTTGAGCCAGAGATCTCTCCTAAGAAAATGCATTTTCAATCTAAGAAAATATTTCTCAAATAGTTTAGGAAAGTAAAAGTTCATTAAGCCAGATCTCCTTAGGATATACATTATTCCCTAGATCTTTGACAATTGGTTCAATTCAATTCACCTTTATGCCTAACCTACTTTCAAAGAACATCAAAAACAAGGGAAAAATTGACCTGCTTTATAAAAATTGCCTTCTCAGTAAAAAAAAAAAAAAAAAAAAAAAAAAAAAAAAAAAAAAAAAAAGACACTCCGTGAAAAATATCCATTAGCACAGACACCTCAGAAACTGAGTTTAGTATATGCCCTTTCCTGGGTACAGAAAATATACAAATTTCTCTTTCATCTCCAATATATGGGAAAAACTTAGATTCCCTGAATGATTCCTTCCACTATAAACAACCAAAAGTGCTGGTGTGTATATATACATACACACATACATATTAAGCATCTTTTTGAATGATTCAGATGACAAATCCAAAAGTGAAGGTAAGTTGGGAATTCCAGGAGACAGGTAAATTGACTTTGGCCTTAAAAGTTAGCCATCAAATTTAATCCTAGTGACCCTCATGGTGTTCTGGGGTACTCTGAGGTATAAAGAGGCAGAAGATAAAGCTCAGGGTTAAAATGTAGCTAATGGGAGCTAAGAAGAGCCTTCCTTCACTCCCACTGAATATCATAGGACTACGGATCACACCAGTCTAAAGGTGAATCAGAGAAACATTCATTGTGTAGGAAAGGGGAGTAATAAAGCGGTCTACCTTGACCATAGCTCTAGATTTCTACTCAGAAAAATACCTTTCACATAAATTAGTGGCCAGAACTCAAACTATGTCATCTGAAAATCTTCAAGGGAAACAGTATTTTCTGAGGCTATTACTGCTCTAAGCAATTCACAGAGACAACCAAATATCCTCTAGAATCTGAAAGAATTCTCAGATGAAATTCCAAAAAAAATGAGCTCATAGTCAAAATAACAAAGCATACAAGGATATCAGAACAACAGCCAGCAGAATCAGACTACTGAGACTTCAGCATTGAAATTATCAAAGAGAAAAGAAAATTTAATATATTTACAGAGTACAAAGATTCAGCTTAACAAAGAGAAGCCAAGTTACAAAGAAAAATGGTCACATAAATTTAAAAAATAATGGAACTTCTAAAGTTAAAATATAATAAATAAAATATGAAACTCAATGAAGCAATGAATCAATTATGCTTCAGGCAACAATATGAATTAATAACTACAAATTTATATGGTGCAAAACTAAATAAAATGTTGCCTAGAGATGCTACTGTGGCAAAATGAAAAACAAAGCACAAAATCTATAATAGTAATGTGATTACCTTTGAGAGGAAGGTATGGGGAGCAATACACAAGACCCCAGGGTAATGGTAATGTTCTTTCTTTAAAATTCTGAAGTATAGGTTGAGCATCTCTAATCCAAAAATCCAAAATGCTCCCAAAATATAACTTTTTGAGCACTGACATGTGCCATGAGTGGAACAATCCACACCTGACTTCACATGCCCAGCGGCAATCAAAAGCCAGACACACTACAAATACCTTTAGGCTATGTATACAAGATTTGTAAGAAACATAAGTCAATTTCATACTTGAGACTTGGGCCCATGGCCAAGATATCTCATCATATATATACAAATATTCCAATACCTGAACAAAATGTAAAATCTGCAATTCTGGTTCCAAGCTTTGCAAGTAAGGGATACTTAAGTACAAAGGTGTTCATCATATCATGATTCTTTAAACCTTACAAAGATTCTTCTGCACCCACTCAGTCCCCAAATAAATATTTGGTATATATTCAGCACTTAACCAAAATAAATTCAAAGGATGAATAAAACAGTACATCTGAAAAAGACAGCCTTTTAAAAAACTTTATTCAGAACGCAGCAGAGACAGAGTAGTTTAAAGCCATATTCAATAGAGGAAGAGCTAACTATGCTTAATCAGAATTATCCCCAAATATATTATTAGGAAAGAGGCTACACTCAGAAATTTCCTAGATTTGCAGACACACACCAACTCCTTGAAATCAGGAAGTCCAGTGAGTCCTACCCAAAAACAAAAAGAAATGACTTTCAACAGTAAGAAGCTAGATTTCTGGAATACCTTCAAAATTCTAGGCAAAAATAACATACATCACTGAAATTATTCTAAAGAATAAATATGGGGGCTGGCACTGTGGCCTGGCGGGTAAAGCTGCTGCCTATAGTACCGGCATCCCACATGGGCGCCGGTTCGAGTCCTGGCTGCTTCACTTCTGATCCAGCTCTCTGCTACGGCCTGGGAAAGCAGCAGAAGATGGCCCAAGTCCTTGGGCCTCTGCACCCACATGAGAGACTTGGATGAAGCTCCTGGCTCTTGGCTTTAGCCTGGCCCAGTGCTGGTTGTGGTGGCTATCTGGGGAGAGAACCAACAGATGAAAGCTCTCTCTCTAAAGTAAATAAATAAATCTTAAAAAAACAAAAAACAAAAAACCAAAGATACACTGGTAGATTTTAACCTTTGCTACCTATCCATATTGTAAATATATACAGGAAAAGATATACACAAGATATACACAAGAATGTTCTTATCAAAAGTATTCTTAAGAACAAATACTAAAAACAACAAAAATGAGAATTTTGCTTTGTCAGTGAGTAAACTCAATTATAATTGTTATACTAAGGATACAGACTAGTAATGGACAATTAGATCAATAAAATAGATAAAATAATCTACAGTCACAAAAATTCATTAAGATCACGTTTGGATACCGCAAATCCAAGGATGTGTGTAGACTGCTCAATAAGCCATTTGGGGAATGAACCAACGGAAGAATGGTTCTCTGTCTCTCCCTCTCACTGTCTGTAACTCTACCTTTCAAATAAAGAAAAAAATCTTAAAAAAAAAAAAAATGTCCTGAAACAATTTAGCTAACCTTTCTGGAGAGAAAAAAAATCTCTTCCCCAATATCATACAGATATATGTAATTACAGATGCTCAAACAGCACCCCCCCCCCAAGGGTGATGCGGAAGGAAACTATCAGCGGTAAAGCAACTTCTTATGTATTAAGCATTAATCACACTTCAAAACTGACTCTCTACCTGTCTTGTGGTTTCCAGTACCTGACCTCATTTTTCTAACATTAGTACCATCATTCTGAGTATTGCATATCATTACTTTTTGTGGAGAAAACTGTTCCAATACAATACCCCTTCCCCCAAAATACTGATATTAGAGGTGAAAACTGACATACGGACAAAAAAATTTTCAGGGGAGTCGGGAAAGGAGAGAATCCTCAAAGGAGAACAATAATCTTAGAAATGACAATTTGACTTATTTGCCAAATCCCAAGATATGAGAACTTTTAAGTCACAAAAAAGAAAACTTACAAAGTAGGGAGGAAAAATTAAAAAACAGCTTATATAAACCCACAGTTAATCTAAAATTAAAAGAATTAGAATAATTTTTGAAACATTAGAATTAACCTGTGGGAGGGTTTATCATCATGTTCTTTTGGTACCATGCATTAACATAAAATAATTTATTGCATTAAGGCATCATAAATGGGACCCAGATCTGTATGGACCATTAGCTAAAACAATCTTTATGGTTTCAAAGATTAAAAGGTTCAAAGCCTCCCTATATACCTGGACTACAGCCCAGATATATCCCCCAAATATAACACTGTAGCAATGTTCAGTCAGTGTTATCCTCAGAACCTTAGAAATAAAGACTACAGAACTTTGAATTCTTAACGTTGCTTCACTTTCTTGGTGATCCCTTTCTTTTAACCAACCACACTCAATGGATAATGTCTGTCATTCTGTTTCTAAACTCATTCAACAAATACAAAATGCTTACTACATCTTAACAAGCCAGCTGCACAAAAGACTGAACCACTACCCTTGGTGCATTAGTCCCCTCAAAAGTGTTCCCTATCTTCCTCTCCTGTTTTTATTAACTTATTTCTTAGGATTAGCAAGACAATTTTAATTCATTTATGGGTCCTGTAACTTAATAACACTTGGCTTCTGTTTAGCCAAAGGAATCTGCTCTTGTAGCTCCACTGGAATTCAAAAAGTATCCTCAAACTTCCATAATCCAAGCATACAGCCTGTTAGTGTCTGAGAAATACCAAACTGCACAATAATCACAGGTTGTATCCAGCGTAGTGGGAAACTTTTTTTTTTTTTTTTAAGATTTGTTTATTTGAAAGTCAGAGTTAGAAAGAGAAATTTCTATCCGCTGGTTCACCAGGGCTGGGCCAGGTGGGGGCCAGGAGCCAAGAGCTTCTTCCATGTCTCCCACATGGGTGCAGAGGCCCAAGCACTTGGGTCATCTTCCACTGCTTTCCCAAGCCAATAGCAAGGAGGGGGATCAGAAGAGCAGCTGGAACACTAACCAACATCTATATGAGATGCTAGCGTGGCAGGCTGTAGCTTTACCTGCTACCCCACAATGCTGGCCCCAGATACAAACTTTTAAATTACATGAAAATGGTTCTGAATCCAGGTTCTACCACTTACTAGTACATGTCATCTTGTATCTCCATATTCTGTCTCCCTTTTTGCATCTAAGCTTCTAGAAAAGGGGAGTACTTATCTCTGAATCGACTTACAGTCACAAAGGGTTTTAAACAAGTACAGTGAATGAAAAGAAAAAGCTTTACAAATGTGGAAGTTAACCTTTGAAATCCATAGGGGAAAATTGGGCTTTTTTTTTTCAAGTGTTTTTTCAAATGTAAAGGCAGAGAGCATAGGAGATAAAGCCATTGCCTGCAGTGCAGACATACCATATGGATATCGGAGTCCAGGCTGCTCCACTTCCAATCCAGCTCCTTGCTAATGTGCCTGGGAAAGCAGCAGAGGATGGCCCCACGCCCTAGGGCCCCTGCACCCATGTGGGAGAGCTGGAGGAAGCTCCTGGCTCCTGACTTCGGACCAGCCCAGCTCTTGCTGTTGCAGACATTTGGGAAGTGAGCCAGTGCATAGATCTCTCTTTGTCTGTCTGTCTGTCTCTCTCTCCCTCTGTCTTTCAAATAAAAAAAAAAATCTTAAATGCAAAGGCAAAGTGAGAGAGGGGAGTAGTGAGAAAGATATAATAGAGATGGAGCAAGACCTTTCATCTACTGATTCAGTCCCTAAATGCCTGCAGTAGCCAGGGCTGGGCCAGCCCAAAATCAGGAGCACAGAACTGAATTTGGGTTCCCCAAGTAAGTAGAAAGGACCCAAGTACCTGAGCCATTATTTGCTGTCTCCTGGAGTGTGCATTAGCAGGAAGCTAAATCAGAAGTAGAGTAGCCAGGACTCAAACCAGGCACTCCAATATGAGATGCCTATGTCCCAAGACATGACTGAACTGCTGCAACAAATGCTCATCCCATAAATTGGTTTTAGGACTTTCCAAATGTAAGCACACAGAAGAGAATTTCTAAAAACTGTATTATTAGAAAGAATATCTCATACAAAGACATATCAAAACACAATCACACATAAAGCATCTGCATTCAGTATTGTGCAAAACTGTAGGATTGATATGCCAGCACCAGTAACCTCCAAAACTAATTGATAAGGTTTCAACTCCTTCCAAGGCAAAGCAGCAACTTTCTGCTGACTGTGAATGAAAATACTGTTAGTCTTGACAAAGCATAGATTGAGCATGTCACTCTCCTAAAAAAAACCTTCAATAACTCCATGTTACATATAAAAAATATCTCACACAAAGGTCATCAAGGCCCTCTGCAATCTGACAGACCTGTCAGTCTTGTCACCCCAAATCCCCTCCTCTAGCTGCCTGCCATGGCATAGCGCGTCCAGTTTTTTTATTCATGCAGTTCATCCTCCACCTCCATCTGCCAAATTATCAGTCATCATTCAAGGAGTAACTTCTGTGAGTGTGATCTTATCTCTGTGCTCACTCCTTTTCATTTATTTATTTTTTATTTTTTTCTTTTGACAGGCAGAGTGGACAGTGAGAGAGAGACAGAGAGATAGGTCTTCCTTTTTGCCGTTGGTTCACCCTCCAATGGCCACCGCGGCCGGCACGCTACGGCCGGCGTATCCCACTGATCCAAAGGCAGGAGCCAGGTGCTTATCCTGGTCTCCCATGGGGTGCAGGGCCCAAGGACTTGGGCCATCCTCCACTGCACTCCCTGGCCACGGCAGAGAGCTGGCCTGGAAGAGGGGCAAACGGGACAGAATCCGGCGCCCCGACCGGGACTAGAAGCCGGTGTGTCGGCACCACAAGGCGGAGGATTAGCCTACTGAGCCGCGGCGCCGGCCCTACTCCTTTTCACTTTTAAGTTATCCATACTAAACGAATTTTAAAAGCTCATTACTGTTTCCCTGTCTTCTCCATTATATCGAAAATTTCTAAAAGGCAAAAATCTCATATCATATTCCTGGACATTCTACAAGGTCACAAGTGCAACTAATAGGTCCTAAACATGGTAAATTAGGATAGCAGGACATTACTGGAGAAGGCATCTTGTACAATATAGTAAAGATGTGACTTAGGACTCCACATCCTACATGGAAGTGCCTGGTTCAACTTCCACCTTAGATTCCTAACCAGCTCCTGCTGATGCACCTCCTGGGAGGAAGCAGATAATGGCTCAAAGTACCTGGGTTCCTGCCAACCATGTGAGGGACCTGGAGGGAGTCCCTAGCTCCTGGCTTTTGCCTGGCCCAGCTCTAGCTGTTGGTGGGGGGTATTTAAGGAGTAAACTAGTAGATGGAAGATCTGTCCATCTCTCTGCTTTTGGAATTAAAAAAAGGAACAATAATTTATTTTTAAAAACTAAATACTGGCCCTTATTTAAGTATATATTGTTTGATACTAAGAAGCAAAATAAAATTCATAAAATTACCAGGATATTTAAAAAGAATACCATAAATCAATTTTCTTTGTTCAATGCAATTTTTTTCTTTTCTTTTTTTAAATCTATTTGAGAGGCAGAGAGATGAGAAGGGAGAAGATTCCCCCATCAACTGAACGATTTCACTCACTAAATGCCCCTAACTGCTGCTCGGTGAAGGAGTGGGGATGAAAGGGTTGCAACGCCCACAAGAGACAAGGCAGAATGCGGGAGGACTCAACCCAAGCCTCCCACATAACTGGCAAAAACCCAACTAGCTGAGCCACTGCCACGGCCTCCCAGGGGAGGCGGGAGGCGGCTATGGAACCAGGAACTTCCATAGGGGATGAAGATGCATCATAGTTTACTGGTCTTAACAGGCATCCTAATCAGCATCTTAACAGCTACCCAAAACTCTGCCCCCAGAAATCTCCCAAAGTCCCCGATTTTCACCACAGAAAACAAACTCTAGATGTTCAATACTCATATCGCAACATACTGAACAAACATTTCTCCAAAACATTCTATATGCAATCTTACATTTTATGACTAATGAAAGCATGAACTGCTATTTAAATGTAAACTACCAGAGGAAATTTCTAGCAAAGCAGCAGTTTGTTTTCAAATTTAATTCAAACATGTATTAATCAACCACTCTTAAAACATTGTATTGGAAAGGGAATGCAAGGGCAAAAAGATGACCTACTTCCTGACCCCAAGGAGTTTATTCTAGACGAGATACATAATCAACCATCGGAATATCAGGCACAATAAATAAACGCTACAACATTCTGTGGAGAGCTTAGGAAAGATGTGGGATGAAAGAAATCAAAGGGTGTAGAGAAAAGACAGCTCCGGGCTGCAGCAGCCAAGAAACATCAAAGTGCCAACGTCTTTTCCAGAGCAAGGGCCCAGAATCGGTGACGATTCTGCAAGTTGAAGCACAAAATCGTGAACACATGAGGCTGGCTAACAGACACTGTGCAGACGCTCTGAGCTCCCCTTTGGGGAGGAGAGGGGGGGAGGACAGGGATGAGGAATCCTTGAAATTATTCACAGGATCAAAAGTTTTATTTCTTGCTTCATCTTTTTTGTGTCCCAAACTGCCATCTAACAACCTTAAAAATTTTTCTTTTCAACGACACTAGTTTGCAAAACAACCTAACTCTTTGTAACACTTCGCACAGAGAATCTCCCAAGCTTTAACTTGAGCTGGGCTTCTCATTCCCGGTTACACCCTCGGAAATCAGTAAACCTAACTTCTCTCCTCCCATGCCCTATCCATCAGTGATAAAAAGGCTCTGCAGGATATTCTGGGAATAGACTAAAATCCAGTCTCAAAAAAACTAAACAAAGAAAAACCCATGTTTTGTTTTAAATAACCCAGGTTATTTCAAGATTTCTTATTTTTAAAAAAATAGTAAAAAAAAAAAAAACAAACACCCACAACTCATTGAACCAAACACCTGGAATATGAACGACATCCACCTATCCCTCAAACACAGCCCACCTCCGGCAACTGCCCATGTGGGAAGACGTGTGCTATCTCAAACCTCCGGGAGGACAGCCAGCCCGCCAGCCCCGAGAACCCCGAGTCAAACCCCGCGGCCGCAGACTCACCCGGGCCAGGCCCAGGCGCATGCGGAGCACACTTCCACCAGAGGCCGACCGAGCGCGTCGGCAACACTCGCCCGGGCAGCGTCTGCCCGGCTTCCAGCCGCACCGGAGAACACCACCAGCGAGGAGCCGCGGTCCACGCCGGCCCGAGGCGGGCCCGGGCCCGGGCGCGGGAGGAGAACGCCGCAGCGCCCCTCCGCCGCCATGTGTAGCCGCCGTTCTGCCGTTGCGCCGCTCCGTCACGGAGGAGGTTATATAACTCCCTCGCGGAGCCTGGAGCGTGCTCCAACGGCCGCCGCTCGCGTCCGCCCCCTCGGGCCCGATCCGCGAGCCGGGCCGCCGCCCCCGAGGCCCGGGCGGCCACCCGTCCGGCCTAGGCCCCGCGCGCGCCCGCGCGCCGCGGCGGGAGGAGCCGGGCTGCGGCTCCGGGCTCGGGCCGCGCCGAGCCGCCCTCCGCCCTGCCCCCTACCTGAGACGGGCGGGTGACGAGCCGCCGCGGCCGCGGAGTCCAGTGGGGCGCAAGGCGCGGCGCGAGCTCCCCCCGCGCGGTCCGTCACAGCATCTCCCGGGAGACACGGCCGCCACGGGCTGAGCGCACACCTCCGCCCCGCGGAAGCTGACGCTCGCGAGCCTCCGCCTGCGATCTCCCCGGCCTCGTCGGACCCACGCGCCCGAGATGCGCCTTCGCCGGCTGCAAGCCTGCAGACCGCCCCCGCGGTTACAACGCGGGCGCTGCTCTCGCCGCGGTGCTGGGTCCTGCCCTCCGCGACTCTGCCTGCTCCGCGCGGACAGCGCCGGCACGGCTCTGAGCGTTACCCTGGGCAGACAGACCGAGTCCCGCACGCCCGGAAAAGGAGGGGCGGGGGAGGAGGGAGGAGGAGGGAGGAGGCCGGGAGCTCGCGGCGGCGGAGTCCTGAGTTCTCGCGAGGGTTCCGGCCCTGGGCGGCGACTCCGCGGGAATTTTCAAAACTCTGGAAGCTGGGAGGCGGGGGAGAGAAGAGGGAGAGGGAGAAGCCGGATGGGGAAGGGCGGATCTTTTACGTATGATAGGTTCTCTCTGCCCGGGGGCCCTGAGGGAGAGAAAGACTACGAGCCCCAGAGCGCCCTGCGCCGCAAGTGGCTCGGGGCGCCGGTCGCGCGCCCGCTGTGGCGTCCGGAGTGGCGGCTTCGCCGGGGACCCTGCGGCCCCGCTGCCGTCCCGTGCTGGCAGCTGCGGGCCCCGCTGCGTCTTTTTTTGCCCAACATGGGGTCCCTGTACAACTTGGGGAAGCGCTTTTTCACCTTTTGTTTTTTTTTTTTTCCCTGAGGTTCTAGCGTGTTTTCCTGCCCAAAGGTGCTCACGTGGCTTAGCCTCATCTTTTTCGTTAACATTTTATCTGTGTGTGTGTGTGTCACTTTCTCGGTTTATCGTTACTACCTTAGAAGTTTGTCCCAGCACCAGACAGGTTTCTAGGCAAATAGCCGGGACTGTGTCTGCAGTACTGAGCAGGAAAGAGAAGCTTTATAAGGTGAGGATTCTTGCAGGCTGCACTAAAGCAGGAAAGTTTCTCCATTTCTGTCACTCTGTTATCCCACCTGCTTTTTCGGATACTGCCTTTTAAAAAGTTGTTCTATAATTTGTGTTTATTATAACTTCTATGATTTGTGTTATAACCTCAGAGCTTTATAAGGTATTGTGCTAAGTTGTGGCAGGGAAGGAGTTAAGAGTACTGGTTTGGGTTGATCCTCACAATTATTTTAAATACTCCTTCAAACAGAAGCCATCTGTCTGTCCCAGGTGCTGATGTGGGTGGCTGCCTTGCTCCACGTGCTACACTTCCATGTTTTGACGTTATATTGTGCTCAGTTCATGAGTACTGTACTTCTGGGTAGTCAGAAGCCAGGAGTTAACAACCCGGGCGTGCTGCTGGTGAGCTATGCGACATGAAAATCAAGCGAAATCTCTGGCCCTGGTTATCAGAGTTTGTAGAGCAAGAGAGACTGGATTGCAGGGTTGACTGACTGACATTAACTTTGCCCTAAGAACCGAATCAGTTGTCAAATTCAGAAATCTGTCTCATGATACTTATTATCCCTATGAACTGGCCTTAGGATTAAACTTCCAGTTTCAATCTTTGCTTCCATCCTCACCAACAGAGTGATCTCTGGATGACTGTCTATCATCTGGATCAACTGTATCTGACCTAGACTATTTCCCCACATAGTTCCTGAGAGTCCACTTCAATCAATAAAAACCTGCAATGAAAATATGCTGCCTGTGTTAGTGCATGTGTTTCCTTTTCTGCCTCTGCCCCTGCCTCCCTGCCCCCACCACCCCTGTCAGCCAGCCACACTGGAGAGGTATACTGTATCTCTTTAAAACGTTGCCCTCTGACTTGCTAGTCTTTCAATTGCATTGTAAACTGAATTCCCAATGCAAAGCTCTAATTCAACTCTTTTTTTTCCTCTTTCAACCATTTAACTATGTATATGCCAGTTTATTTTAATGAGCTTAAAGAAAATTTTAAAAATCCAGGTTTGGCAATCAAGTGAGTTTGAGGGAAAGCTGATTAAATAATCAAGTCTCTCTTTTATGTAACACTTCACTGCCTTGAATGTGCTTGGCTTGTCCCAAAGTGTTTTTACCATGGCACCCATTTATGCTGTGGGACATTTTGCTCCCATTAGTGTTCCACAGAATAGTAAACACAGCTGCAAAGCTGTCTCTTCCTGGGGAGAGCATATGTGGTGAAAAGAACATGACCATTCCAAGCCAGACAACCTTGGGTTTTAATGTTTTTCACTATTTTCTAGCAACTTGACTTTAACAAGATTACTTTTCTCCCTGAGCCTGTTTTCTCCACTAAGAAGAAAAGATGATACTTTCTTTGCAGAGTTATTGCAGATGTTAAAAGAAAGTATGGGGGCCGCGCTGTGGCATAGCAGGTAAGGCTGCCACCTGCAGTGCCGGTGTCCCATAGGGGTGCTGCGTTAAGTCCCGGCTGCTCCACTTCTGATATAGCTCTCTGCTATGGTCTGGAAAAGCAGCAGGAGATTGCTCAAGTCCTTGGGCTCCTGCACTTGTGTGGGAGACCCAGAGGAAGCTCCTGGCTCCTGGCTTGGGATGGGCACAGCTCTGACCATGATGGCCAACTGGGGAGTAAACCAGCAGATGGAAGGCCTCTCTCTCTCCCTGTCTCTCCTTCTCTTTCTGTGTAACTCTAACTTTCAAATAAATTACTAAATCTCTAATAATAAAAAGTATGTACCTAAATCAGAACCTCATTCTCTTATCACTTATATAGCCATTACATTACTATATATTGATGAAAGGCATAGAAAATGATAACTAGTACAGATCTTCATATTTCAGGGCCAGTGTTTTGGTGGTAAAGCCACCACCTGCAGCACCAGCATCCTATGTGGGTGCCAGTTCATGTCTCTGCTGCTCCACTTCCCATTCAGCTCCCTGCTAATGTGCCTGAGAAGGCAATGGAAGATGGCCCAAGCGCTTGGACCTCTGAACCCACATGGAAGATCTGGAAGAAGCTCCAGACTCCTGGCTTTAGCCTGGCCCAGTCCTGGCTGATGCAGCCATTTAGGGAGTGAATCAGTGAATAGAGGATCTCTATCCTTTTCTCTCTGCAACTCTGCCTTGCAAATGAATAAATCCTTGAGAGAGAGAGAGAGAGAGAGAGAGAGACTGACTTTAAAAAAAGAATAGGTATGGCAGAAGGCAAAACTTTACCGTCTCAGAGTCTCTGACTGGGCTTGAGAATTAAATTGATATAAGAGAAATTAAGGGGGAAAGTATACAGATTTTTCACTTGTAAGTGGGGTTTCCTATAGGAAGATGAAGCCCTCCAAAAATAACAAAACCTAAATGCTTGTATAGTAGGTCAAACAGAATGATGTTTGTGGAAAAGCAGCTAAAATGAACAGGAAGGACTAAGGAAGAAAAGAGGCATTTCCACAAAGTCTGTACAGATTTTTCTCAGCCTGGACTCCCCACCTTAAGTGGCAAGAATGTTTCTTCTCTCCTGCATCAAGAAGGACAATGTATCCTTTCTGTACAAGGACATTTCAAAATGTGGGCAGAAAATGGAGTTGAGATAAATTTACTTTTTTGCAAAAAATAGTTTTGAAATCATGCATAGAAGTAGTCTTCAAAAATTTTGTTTAAAAACACATTATGAAAAAAAAAACTATGCAGGGATTCCAAAATCATTTTGCACTAAAATAGCCTTGTCTTTTAATTCCATTTTCCAAGACTTTTTGAAGTATCCTCATATCTGCTCTTCAAGTGCCTTTTAGCTTGAAATAATCCTTATGCTAAAGTGGCATATTTTGGGGTGACATATTCTGTAATGTTTCAGCATTAAATAAAATCTATAGTTTTTAAAGAAGAAAAGTAAATTTTTTTTTGACAGGCAGAGTTAGAGAGAGAAAGACAGAGAGAAAGGTCTTCTTTTTCCTTTGGTTAACCCCCCCCCCCCGCCCAAATGGCTGCTAAGACCGGCGCGCTGCACCGATCAGAAGCCAGGTGCTTCCTCCTGGTCTCCCATGTGGGTGCAGGGCCCAAGGACTTGGGCCATCCTCCACTGCCTTCCCGGGCCACAGCAGAGAGCTGGACTGGAAGAGGAGCAACAGGGACAGAATCCGGCACCCCAACCGGGACTAGAACCCGGGGTACCAGCGCTACAGGCAGAGGATTAGCCAAGTAAGCTGTGGCGCCGGCCGAAAAGTAAATTTTTTTTAAAGATTATTTATTTGAAAGGCAGAGTTACAGAGAGGGAAGGAGAGACAGACAGAGATCTTCCATCTGCTGGTTCACTCCCTAAATGGCCACAACAGTCAGGGTTCAGCTAGGCAGAAGCCAGAAGCCTGGAGCTTCTTCCAGGTCTCCTACATGAGTGCAGGGTCCCAGGCACTTGGGCCATTCTCTGCTGCTTACCCAGGCACATCAACAGGGAGCTGGATTGGAAGTAGAGCAGCTGGGACCTGAACTGGCGCCAATATGGGATACCAGCACTTCAGATTGCAGTTTAACCCACTATGCCACAATGCTGGCCTTGAAAAGTAAATATTTTTATCGCTAAAATATAGTCTTTATGCATTTGAAAATTGTATAAATGACACCCCAAAAAGCTGCAAATATTCTCTTTCTGAACACTGGTAATATTTGTGATAAATATGGTACCAAAATTAATATTGTCTTAAAAATCATTCTCCTGGGCCCGTGCTGTGAGTAGTGTATAAAGCCACCACTTGCAGTCCCGGTATCCCATATGGGCTCCAGTTCCAGTCCAAGCTGCTCCACTTCCAATCCAACTCTCTGCTATAGCCTGGGAAAGCAGTGTAAGATGGCTCAAGTCCTTGGGTCCCTGTGCCTGTGTTGGAAACCTGGAAGACACTCCTGGCTCCTAGTTTCAGATTGGCCCAACTCCAGCCATGGTGGCCATTTGGGGAGTGAACCAGCAGATGGAAGACTTGTGTCTCTCTCTCTCTGCCTCTGCCCCTCTGTAACTCCGCCTTTCAAATAAATAAATAAATAAATAAATCTATCTTTTAAAAAAAATTCTCCTTTTGCCACTCTCTCTGTTTCATAGTCTCATCTCTCAAAATTACTTTTCTCAACTCAATCAATCTCTTCTTGTTTTGGTAATTTCTTCCAGAGTTAGCTACTTCCATTGTAAGTGATGAAATGTGTTAAGTCTCCGCTTCAAATCTTAGCACTGCTTTGAGCAAGGTCATTCCCTTTACTGTAATTCAGAGTTAAACTTTGGATTCTTGGTTTTTATATTCCAGTTTCAGCAGTTTTCACTGTAGAAGTTATCTGAAGAC